ACGCCCTGCTGTCCCAGCCAGCTGGTGGCGGGGCAGGGACCTGGGGCTCAGGCCTCTGCTGCTTTACAGTCCCAGGGATGGGCAGAGAAGCTGTTTAGGACTTCAACTGGCATCCGTGGATACCTGTCCTGTGGCTGGCATAGGGGCAGCAGACTCAGTGCCTAACGCAGAGCCAAACCTACAACAGATCACAAGGCAACCTGCCAATGGCTATGAAAGGCAGGCCTGGGGGCGGGGGCAGGAGTTGGTGCGGGACTCTGCCTGGCGCACAGTGCTGGGACAGCAATAGCTGCGGGAGGTCAAAGGGGGTCAAGGAGAACTTCATAAAGAAGGGAGCACTTACCTAGAATTTAAAATAAAGTCATAGTTTCCAGATACAGAGAAAGGGGAAGGGTTCTGTAGGCAGTGGGAAGACCATGTGCAAAACCCAGGAGCCTGTTAGGGGACCTGGGAGGCACTGAGCACGGCCAAGCCATGGAAGGAGGCTGGGGGTGAGAAGGTGGGAGGGGATGAGGCAGGCATTCAATAGGCTCGGATGATGCCAAGCTAAGCCGTACGAGGAGCAGGACCACAGAGACCAGGATGGCACCTGAGTAAGCCTGCCCTGCAGATGCACCTTTGCTCCTGAGTGGGACTGGTCCTCTGCAGATGGTAGACTGTGCTGGCGCCAGGTGGGAGGGTGGTAACGGGATCATGTCCCCAGCAGGCCTGTGGCATGGAGCTGTGAAAAGTACAGGGACAGAAGTGACCACCACCCCCTTGTGACTAATGATAGCAAGTCCCTGCTCCTGACTGTTGCTCCAGGCTCAGGCGAGCACAGGCAGGAGTCCAATGTGCAGGTGGGAAGACTGAGGCAGAGGGAGGCACTTGCCCAAGCCTGAGTGAGTTCACTGTGGATTTGATACACAGACTCAAGGGTCCAGGTTTTCAGCACAGGGACCTGACTCTGAACCAGAAAGTTCTCTCCCTTCTGGCCTCTCGGACAGTGAGGGTGAGAGATCTCATGGGCAAATGGGCAGGTGGTACCCCTTGCACCCCTCCTCCCGGGGCCAGTCCTTATCAGACCGGTTTGAGGTAGTTCCCAGGCTTGTCCTGAGGAGTCAAACGCTTTCCAGTCAGGTTGGGTTCCTCCCTGTGCAGTCAGCCCGTGGGGGAACCCCAAGAGTAAATGCCCAGGAGGTTTTTCCACAGAGCTGGGTGGATAGGGGACCCACCAGAGCACCCTGCTGCTGTGCGTGTGCTGGGCAGTCAGATGGCAGTGATGACAATGGCCTTGTCTATGGACACGGCCCCCGGAAGCTCAGCCAAGTAACAGGAGAAATTTGAAAACTAATTGAGGAAAACAAACAAACCCACAAACTCAAGCCAGCATACTGGCTCAGGTGGGCTAGGCAGGCATGAGCAGAGAGCAGGCCACTGGACGCTGGGACAGTGTCACCCTGACATCAGGAACCACACTTCACACAGGCCAGGAAGCCTCCTGGTGTCTCCTCCACAGGGCCTACCGCTGTGCTCTTCTCCAGTGTGGGTCTGCCAGTTACTAAGGATTTTCTCCAAGCCTCTCAGGGCCTCTGCCCAGACCACAGAAGTCCTCTGGAATATAGAGCTGAGTAGAAAAATTTCCCCAGATAAACAGGAATGCTTTTGCTGTCCTAACAAGTAATGAAGCATGCTACCCCTTTTTCCTTTGGCTCCCAGGAGGCTCCCAGTCACATCTCATGCTTATTTACCACTCCACCAACTCTACAGCTCATATACTTGCTACCCTTAAACTCTCCTTAATCTTCACTTAGAATTTTTCTCATGGTTTAATCTGGTCACACATAGCCTGTGTTGTATATCATCTCAACTTCTTGTTGGAAAGAGGTGGCAGATAAATAAACAATGTAATTTTGCTCAGAAAGGAGGGGTTAAAGTGCAAAGTCTGGCCAGCACTCTGGCTCCATGGGAAGTCCCCTTTTGATCAAGCCAGGGTTCCTTCCTTCCTTGTCTGAAGCAGAAGGAGGTGGCCCAGCCCCCACCCCCAGGTTCTCTGCCCTCTCTCACCTCCTAGATCCAGCTCCTCCGGCAAACTCTGCTTAACGAGAAGGAAGAAAGCGCTTCGGCCTTCCTGCCTGCTTTTCTGGCAGTGTGGTGGGTGGGGGGCCTTCTCTAGCTACTTTCTAAGGAGGGGAGGGGTTCAGGAGATCCATTTCAGGAGTTTAACAATCAGCTGTCAATCATATGCACCTGAGGGTAGCTACATTAGGCTCCAATCTCCACAGCCCGCCCCTCCTGGAGGACCCAGGGTCCGGAGGCTTTAGGGAGAGGCAGCAGCCAGACCCCACCCCTGAAATGGGCAGTGGAGGAGAGTGGTTAAAAAGCATGGTCTGAGTCATGAAAACCTGCGTTTGAATCCTTACTCAGCTGCATACTGGCTGTCTGACGCTGGGCATGCCACTTCGGGTCTCTGAGCCTCATTTTCCCCACCAATGAAATGAGAGAATAACAATATGTGTCTCAGAGTTGTGAAGAGGCCGGCAAAGTCCCTACAGAGTACAGCACACACTGAGTGTAAACAAACTCAATAACCCTCAGGGCTGATATTGGTATTAGTGCTGGCGTGGAGGGCCGGAGAGAAAGTGTGTGAATTCCAGGGTTCCTGGCTGGTGGTGACTTGGCCCCGGGGGATGCCCCTGTTCCTGCACTTCCAGTCTCCCCAGAAAGCCTGCTGACTGCAACTCAGCTCTCTGCCCTGAGGGCACGGCTATCAGCAGGTCTCAAGGAGTCTTCTTAATAAACAATGCTTTCAGCCAGCAACAAGGATAAAGAGACCCTTAGAAAACTGACCATTGCCCAAAGACTGAAGCATGAAACCAACTAAAAAAATTCTGACACGTGCCCCAGACCCAGATGTGACCGAGCCCTACCACCACCAGCTCCCACCGTCTCCTTCTGCCACTAGTCTCCCCCTCTGTCTCCATCTTTAAGCCTTTTTCAGGCTGGAGCTTCTCCTACCTTGAATGGCCTCATTCACTACCCTCCCGCCCTTCCTCCAGTAAAATAAATAACCCCCTTCTATTCTAGGAGCTGCTGGGGAAGTCCCCAGTCTAGGGCAGTGTTTTGCAGAGTGTGAGCAGCAGACACCACCTGCACGGAGTTACCTGAAGCTTGCTAAAATGCAAATGCCTTCCTCGTGATCTACTAGGACAGAAACTCTGGCCGAGGGATCCAGGAAGCACTTTCTAACAAGCTCCACACGTGCTTCTGAAACACATACAAAGCACAAAAGCCAACCGTCTTGTCTTGAGTCCTCACTGAATGCCAAAGAGTAAGTAGGGCTACACCCAGAAAACTCACGAAATGAACCAACAAAGGAACCCAAATATCTGTGTGTCTCCAGTAGGAGTACCCAGGAGATCTGAATTCTAGTCTTGACTTTGCACTACTGAGCGGTGTTGCCTTAGGCAGGCCACTTTCCCTCTCCGGGTCTCAGTTTTCTCACCTGCAAACGGAAGGGCCAGAGCTTGGTGGCCTTTCGGGCCACCACACTCCGGCATGCTCGGAAATCCACTCGAGACAGGCTCCTTTGTAGGAACACTGGTGGGCCAGGAGGATGAGGAGCTGTTGGGGGTGAGCCCAGACGTCCCATTGCTGCCTAGGTAGACAGCCGAAAGTTGTTACTGACATTCAGAGGGACTCACAGGACTCAAGCCAGACAAGGGCCAAGCTAAGTATCCAAATGGCCTGGCCTTGTGACTGTCAGGAGCCAACGCCTGTGCCTAGGCCATGGCAGTCAGGCCAGGGGCCGTCTGGTGCCGATCCTGGACAGAGGAGTGAGCACAGAGGGTGCGTCTGAATGTTAGGGTCCCTCCTCAGTTGACTGGCTCAGAACCAGGTTCTAGGGCCCACAGAAACATTAGAGAACACATGGAAGCACCCGGGCATGGGGTGGGGGGCGGCGGCTCCCCAGCAGAATATCTCTATTGCACAGCTTCAGGGGGTTGCTATCTTACACAACACAGTGTGCGTGGTACCCCACGACCATGTGGAGCAACATGCCAGGACTAGGCACCCTCGGGCATCCTGGCTCCTGAAGTTAGGGGAGCCGGACGAGCTCTAGACCCATGCACTACTGCGGCCAGCTGAAGAGCGGCCAGCAGCTGTGGGAAGGTTTCTCCACCCCTCCTGGTTGGGAACAGAGAACTGAGCTCACCCTGAGGATGGTATGACAGGCTGGGGTGGGGCAGGGGTTGCGGCAACAGGCTCAACAGGAACTTCCCCCAGGTCCACAGTCTGCTCCCACCATGTACAGGTGGCCACACTCACTTTGCCCTCTGGGGCCAGCAGACTGCCCAGCCCCTTCCCCATGTGCACAGGAGCACTTCCAAGAGGAGAGAAGGGCCCAGAGAAGGTTCCAGGCTATTCAAAGGACTGGCCAACGGGGCCTAGGAGACTAGCATTGGGCTGAGAAAGAACTTGAAGAACCATCGAGATGCGGAGGGTTGTCCAGGGCACAGATTCCTGAAGCAAACTAGATTTCATGCTCGGCAGCGGAGCAGTGTTTTTCCGTGGTTGATTAACTTCACTACCACCACCAGCCCCCTTCACACCCAAGGAAGTGGGACTTAGGAAGTGACAGGGCTAACAGGTGGCTGGGCTGGGATGGCATTGCCAGAGGTGGCCTGACTCTGGTGCAGTAGCACAGGGTTCAGCCACCAGAAGACTGGGGAGCAGTAGGTAGCAGGAACAGGGGTGTGTAAGAGGCCAAGAGACTTTTCTCCCTCATCCTCCCAAAGGGACAGCAGTACCTCCCTTTCCCAAACTCAGCCCTTCCCAAGGTTCACCCCTGAGAATCCGACGCCCCTAGACCCCGGGGTGGAAGCTGTTGTGTCTTCTCTTTTCAACCCTTTAGACACATTCTGGATTCAGAGAGGGACCAAATGCCAACCTCTGGGCTCAGGGAACCTCCCCCAGTTGAACGTCGAGAGATCCCTGTGTAGCAAGTTGCTACTCGCTCACAAGCTTTCACATTCTCTTTATTAAAAATCTTTTTTTTTCCTTTTGTAAAAACAAACACTTGCAGTCAGTTATACAGATCAGGAAAAGTGACAATTTATAGGACATCCAACAAATTCTAATACTTTACAAGTTCCAACTGAAATTAACTAGTGTTTTTCTTTTTCTCCTAAGCTCAAAAAACAAACTCTGGTCCAGTTCAAGTAAAATCTAACAGATCACAGCCTCAGACTGTCCGAGAAAAGGGAACCCTGATACTTGCATCAACTGCAAATTTACCAAATTATTTGGAAATACTGTTTGCGTATACTTTATTTCAGGTGTTTACAATGAGAAGAAAATTACACAGACCTTTGGTTGTATTAACCCAGGGTACAAATGAATCTGTTGTTCAAGGTAACAGCTGCTGTTGAACAATCTTTGGGGGGAGACACTTTGAAATGGTTGACACTCACTGAAGAAAAACTTTAAAAAATAAATCAATATTTTCCTGGTTGCCTTTAATGCTGCAGTGTGTCTGACACATGTAGGAATAAAAAGAGCAAACTGCAGAGTGGGTGAAGGACCATGCCAATGGGATTGTATAAAAATAAATAAAAATAAATATATGTACACACAAATACAGATTCTTGGGTAGTTTTTTTAACTGTTCTGATCGAGTGCAGAGTACCTCTCCTCCCTCCCACGGGCTCTCTCCAGCTTTCCAATATGGAGAAGGTCCACTTGTTAGCAAGGGAGCTGTTACATGACTCAGGAATGAGGCTATTTGAACAGCCATCCAGATTTCCATGGAAACGCTGCTGGGGTCAGCTTCCACTCTGCTGGGAGAAGACTGCCAGCCTCTTTGAAAATGCACAGTTCCAGCCTCTGCCCAAGGTGGTAGGCTTTTCCCAGCAAGGTTCTGCAAGGAGGCTGGAGAGCTGGCCCTGGGCTCCCCTCTGGTGGGAAGGCAGATACACAGGGCCAGAGATTTTCCGAGAAATGGAGGAGGCTGATTCCCAGAATGCCAGATTTTAAAAAAAACACCCGTGGAGGCAGCCAGGGGACCACCCAGGTCCGGTCCGGGCTGCGCCCCCATCTTCAAACCCTGCTCTGAGACACAGACCTTTCTGAGGCCCCCCGGCAGCCAGGTGCCAGGTCCGGGCTTCCCGCCTCCCGCAGCCTCTTCTCACCACACCTGTGCGAGTGGATCCGTTTCCTCTGGTGTCTTAACCCTTCTCTTGCAGGTTCCCAACAGGCTTCTCCTCGTCTGTGACCATCTGCCCCACGGTTTACACATGATCATTTTATTTGTGTTCTACATTTCTTTCCTCTCTGTGCCTCAGTTTCCTCACTGATAAATAGCGTTGAACTCAGATAATCTCTCTGCCCTTCTGCCTTTAGTGCGGAGGACAGAATACGCAGTATACTATCTACCTTAAAAAGAAAAAAGGGAAAAAAATCAGTCTCTTCCTAGTGTACCTGCTGGCGGTCAGGAATAGAAACAGGGACTATCTTGCAAAGACTGAGCCAGGGGAGCCCCTCCAAGTCGATATCTCAGCTGCAGAAACAGCACCAGGCCCCCCCTGAGGTCTTGAGGTCTTCTCCGGGGCGGCAGCCAAGCCTCCTTTCCCACTACGCCTTTGTCCCAAAGCCTTCCAACAGAACATCAGACGAGAGTCCCGCAGCCTGTCTGGGGCCTGAAGGCACTGCCCTCTGGCATCGGACAGCCCGATGACGGCAAGGGCTTTGTTCTTCACAGCATTTGAATCAAGGTCTGCACATGCAGACAACTCTGCAGTTGACTCTGAGATGCCTTTGACCTTCTGCCAAGTCGGAAATGGCCTACCTACAAACACAGGCCACCCTCAGATCCTCGGCAGTCCCACAGCCTTCTTTCCTTAGCTTCTCCCCACACTGGGACCCCACTTAAAACCACCCCACAGCGAGGCTGCTGGAGCCAGAGCTTGGGCACCAAGGGTAAGTCAAGGACAGATGCTATTTCCTTGTTTTGGCATCTCCTGTGGCAAGGAGGCTGACATTCAACCTAAACCCTTACCGACTACTGTTTTAATTGGAGGGAGAGGATGCTTCCATTTTGGTTTTTAGGTAAAGTGAGTCTACAAGAAATTCATTGTTCAGAGTAGAACAAACCCTGGCACGTCCTGAAATCAAGCGGAGGAAAATAAGTTTCGGGGGACATTGTCAGAGCTCCTCAAATGAAGAGCTCATTTCCTCCTCTGTTAAATTCTCTGCAGAGTAACCGAGAGGGCAAAAGAATCATTCATAAAATCAGGGGCTTTTCAAAAAGGCGGTCCAGCTAGAGGAACTCCCAGCTTCCGCCAACTGATTGTTGAAGGCGTCCCTCTCGGGGACTGCTGGACCCCATGCAGATCGCCCCCTGCCTGGGGTGCCGGGCAGAGAAGCCATTCCAGGTTCACTGAAGCAGTTCTTGACCCAGGAGCTTCTGCGAAGTTTTCTTCCTTGGATGACTCAGCCTGGCCTGACCTGTCCTAACCCATCAAGAATTTGAACACTGTGAAAATCCCTGAGAAGTTGTATTTTATGAAAAGGAAATGACCCTTGGCACAGGAGGAGGGAGAGAGAAGAAGAGAGAGAAGCACTGAAAAGATTGTCTGAAGGAAACAGGAGTCATAAGGAGGGAGTGGGCGACCCCTGGTGGGCTGCACACTGGGGGGTAATGACTCTGGGAAAAACGGCAGGGGCGTCTTCAGGCAACATGGTCTGCCTGGTTTTCTTCTGCCTCTGGCTTTCGTTCCCGTCCTGGTGGTCAGGAAGGCCCCACTGGGGCGGGCCCTCCCTCCTGGCTTCCAACTGCACAGGTCAGAGCTTTTTCTTTTCAAAGTGGGGCACGATTCCGCTGTCCTCGGGCCTCGGGCTGCCTGCCCCCTCCGTCTCCCTCAGGCCCTCCTCGGCCAGCTGGGACAAGTACTTCTGTGGTGGGAAGAGAGGGACAAAGGAGGAAGAGAGGGGGTCAGCGGTGACCTAGCAGGACAGGAGAGGAGAGGAGTGGAAGGTGGCTGCCTTGGCCTCCCCTCCTATCATCTCACCTCTAGTGGCGGAGGCCCCCTCGCCTGCCTCCCCACACAGAACCCACGCCAAGCAATGCACTTTCCTGCCCCTTTATGCTCAGTTACAAGGAATGCATGTCTCCTGGAGCAGAGCCCCGCGTCCAGGCAGCACGTCCACGTGTAAAGGAAGAGAGAGGGGAGGGAAGCTGGAAGAGCAGGAGGAGAGAAATGCCGTCCTGCAGAGATCAGGACAGACGAAACCAAACCGCAGCCTGACACCCGAGACTCCTGACGGCCTGCTTCCCATCAGGCAGGGGGAGTGTCCTGCGGGTCCTTCCACGGACTTCTGTTCTATTGTTGGGGCTGCCTCACAGCGCCAGGACACTCACTGCCGGCACAAGCTCCCAGCCCATTGTCCGGCCACCCTGGGATGCTGGATTCATCGCAGTGGGACAGAACTAGAAAACGTCTGGGGCCCCAGCTGGGCCCTCCAAGTGCTGGGCAGCCAGGGGCGGCAAAGAGAGCACTGGATTGGCAGTGGGCATGGTCAGGTCCAGCACAGTGGTCAGGCGTGTGGGCTCTTCTGTCAAATGACCTGGGTTCAAATCCTAGACTTCAGCAGTCAAGTCACCCAATATCTCTGACATCTGTCAAGTGCAGGTCATAACAGAGCTACCATAGAAGGTTGCTATGACATCCAAGAGAAGTAGCATAAAAACATTTAGCACAGCGCTGGCCCAGAATAAACATTCGGTGATGCTGCCCTTTATCATGAGTGGCACCGGCCCTCCAATCTCAGGAAAGTTACTCTGCCCCTCCCAGCCGAGAACCCCAATCTGTTCCGTGGGAACGGCAGTCTTCCTCCTCCCAGGGTGACTTCGAGGGGCAGATGAGATGATGTGGACTGGGCCTGCCCGCCCTCTCCAGAGGTGGCTGTGGGTGGCTGTGAGAGCTGGGCTAGCCTGACAGGAGAGGGGCAGCCCCCGGGGAAGGGACAGGCACATTCAGAGAGGCGACCGGGTGAGTGTACTGCACACGGGCACGTTCCTCCTCTGCACCTGGAGCCCAGCAGGTGTCCAGTTTCCTCTCTGGTACTGACTCCACCTGTTGTTCTGGATCTCTCTGGTGGGCTCTTGCGGGGCTGTGACCAGTGGTGGGGCACAGCAGGAGATACACAGAGAGAACTCCTTCCACCTGCTCCCTGCCTCGAAGAGTAATCCCCTACCCCTACTTCAAGGCCTCCTGGGGGGCTAAGTTTACAAGCTGCCTGACTTAGGTGTCAGCCAGCACCTGCTCCTTGGGTCTGAGTTCTTCGCTTTTCACACATATAACTTGGGGTAGGGCGGGTGGGCGAAGCTATGTGGACAAAGACATTCTGCCAAGGCCACTAACAGAAACCCTATCTGGGAAGCCTGTGGTGGAGGCTCCGAGCTCCCTGACAGGTGCACAGGGAAACCTGAACTGTGGTTGGCAGGTGGAAGGGGCTTAGCCACCATCTGGCCTGGACACGCCTAGGGACCACAGGAATGGCTCTGCCCTGCCATGGTCCTGGCTGTCTGGCCCAAAGGCCCAGAACACTGTGAAGTCCACTGCCCTGGAAAACACACAGGATTTAGAATCAGAGGCCCTGGCATTCTTCCTAACTTCCTGGGTGACCTTGAGCTGTGTGGTCTAGCAGACAATTTTGGGGGAGATCAAAGTTTCTCACATCGAGGTATCAGAACCTGCTAGAAAGATTTTATAAATTCCGGTTCTCTGGCCCAGCCCTAGAGAGAATGAAGAAGCAGGTATAAGGTGAGTACAAAAAGCTGCATTTCTAAAGGATTCAGCTAGCGTGAGGACCAAGGTTAGGAAGATCAGGAGCAGGTGGTCTCCAAGACCCGGTCCAACGATGCCATTCTGCAGGTTTCATCTTGTTGGGCTGGGGGGCGATGATGTCTCCTGGGTGGAAGACAGCCCTCCACTGGCTGCGTGGAGCTCAGCCTGAACCCTTGGTCTGGCCAAGTCAGGCCTTCATTGCCCTGCCCCCGAAGCAGCTGGGACCCGGGCCTCAGCCCCCATGGGTTCTGGGTCACAGAGCGGCTGCTATCTGGCGGGAAACCGAGGGACTTCAACGAGGCTTGAGTCTGGGTACGGCCCATGGCAGTCCCTTGCAGGTGGTGAATCAGGGCATGACATTATGGGTCTCAGTCTGCAGGACCAGCTTAATAGAGTAAAAAGAGGAAAGTGACTAAGAATCGGGTCACCTGTTTGAGGCCTGGTAACTCACCGTCTGCCTGGTGGTGGACAAATCCATAGCTTCTCTGGGCCTCAGTTATAAAGCAAGAGAACTGGCCCACCTCTGAGTTTCTTCACTGGGGGTGCACTTCAAATAATTTGGGGAACTTTCTCAAATTACATATTCCTGGGCCCCCCTAAATTCTACTGACTATCTGAGCTAGCATGAGTACTCTGGAAACACTGTCCAGATGATTCTGTTCACATCTCTGGTTGAGAACCAGATCAGCCACTCTAACACTTCAGCTGTGATAGTAATGCCGGCTCTGGAATTATGGCAGGCTGCCCGCCTGAGGGTCTTCCTGAGTTGAGGCTGCGTGTGTCAAGAAATTAGTCTGATTCCTGTAATAAAAACAGAAGGTGCTTGAGATACTTGCTCTGGGCATCTGATAGACCATGATTTCTATTAAGTTACTAAACCCAGCCTGTACCAGATGTTAATTATGAAAAACACTTTCTAATATATTATGTATCAGTGAGGTATATATTTGGAGCATATTACTATGTTTCATTGTTCTTAAGATGCTTTTTTCACATATTGATGTCTTTGAAACTGAGATGCATTTTACAACTGATGAAGTCTCACTATCTAATTTTCGACATTTTTTTCTTGTTGGTATCAAAGAATAGTGTCTTACAACAACTGAGGGCACCTAAGATTGTATGAAATACAGTTATACAGAGTAGTTTTATATATCATCTATTGATATCTTATAAAACTTATTTTATCTATTGCCTGTCACCTACACTAGGTTGGAAACTCCACAAGGGCAATGTTTTGTCTGCAGTTTTTTGTTTTTGTTGCTCCATCCGCAGTGCCCAGAACAGCGTCTGGTACACAGTATGCCTGTCACAAACAGCTGCAGAACGGGCGAACATTTACACAGAGTGGAATAGTGGCCTCTACACCAGCAAACCTGGACACTGCACGGGGGGAACAGAAACCCAGAGAGAGAGCTGCATCTGGAACACCCAGGTTTTCTGAAAGGGGTCAGCCCCAACCATGGGCCAGGTGAACATGAACTCAAATCATTCAGGACAGAGGGAGAGGTGGACACAAAAGCCTGACCCAATGGAATGTGTTAAGTTCCACGGTGGAAACAGACACTCTGTGAGCGCGTGGGAGGCAGCCGCCATGTGGAGCATTGCGGTGGAGTCAGATCTCCAGGTGGCAGAAGGCGAGAGGAAAGAAACAGAGGCTAGAGAGTCCCCAGAGCCAGGCGGGGAAGGCCAAGGTTACCTGTAAGTTCCTGTAGTGGATAGCACTGCGGCAGTGGCTTATCTTCGCCATCTCCTCGCTTGTGTAGAACAGCCCGCAGAGCTTGCAGTAAAACCCAGTCCTGGGTACCACGAACTCCACCCCTGCAGAAGGATGGGGGATGGACAGGTAGGCAATTAGGAAGGCAATGGGGGGGGGCCCCTGTGGTCCTGCAGCCTTCAGGTGTAAATGGGGACAATGAGTTCCACCCCTCACTTCCTGTTGACTTTGGCTGGTGACCTAGCTTCTCCAAGCCTCAGTTTCCTCCTTTGCAAAACAGGCACCAAAAGACTAGACTGTGAATGAAACCTCTTTCATTCACAGGTGTCTGTGCTTAACAAGTATATGCTCTGAAACTGCCCCCAGGAACGAGGTCCAGAATCTCCTGGTACAAGCCCATTTCTGGAGAAAGGAGGGGGAAAGGGGTTTCTTTGCAGCAGTTGTGGCCAGGACACTAGAAGAATGCTCATTTTTTGTTTATTTTATAATTACGTTCATGAAAAAAAAAATTTTTAAATAAACAAAAGTGAGGAAAAACCATCCAGAGTCATTCCAATTAAACATTTTCTTTCGCATTATCTATAGGTGCAGCCTTTTTTTGCTGGGGGACAGATTTAATTACACCCTAAGAGCCATGTGTCTCCTCCTTTTTCATGTAACAGTGTATCATACACATTTCCCAGCCTTTCTCCAGCCTTTTCAGCTGAACCATCAACTAATCACTAATTTTATTTGTCATTCGTTAATGTACGTCCCAGGGCGCTAGGAGGGCTCTGACTCTAAGGAAAGAAAACAGTGGCCCAGCAGCCTGAGAAGCGACAGTGTCAGCCCAGACAATTCATCTTTGAAGGGATGGTGGCTGTTCCAGCCTCCACCGAGGTGTTTCAGGGGTCACAGCTTTTCCTCTTGAAGACACCGTCAGCAGAGTACTAACAGTCCAAGTCCGAGAGGATGCAGACGGGACACTAAGTGCCCAGGTGACCCGGGGAGAGTCCGTGGAACCCCGCCTGGGCCTCAGCTTGCCCAGTCACCTGATCGTACAGTACTGGCACAAGAGCAGGACGTGAGGGCTGTGAAAAGCAGGCGCCATCACAGAACTAAAGGAGAGGGGCTGGCAGACTTCCGACGCGCTTTCAGGCTGTGGCCGCACCCTACAAGTGCTGACACTTCAGCGGAGCTTCGCCATTGCCATCTGGTTAGCTCCCCTTGCTCTCCTGCGGGTGGTCAGAGGGCTGCACCCTACAGAGAGCGTGGCTGGGAGCAGCATGTCAGGGCAACAGCAGCTTCTTGCAGAGAGGGAGACAGACCAGGCCCTGTGTGGGACCCGAGTGTGGGGCTCCCCTCACATGCCTCCTCCCACCTCCTGTGAGACAGAGCTGAGTGCCCAGGAGAAGCAGAGATGTGTAATTACAACGTTCTTTTTTTCCACTTCAAAAAAGCCACTTTTCAGTGTGGAGAGGCAGACCTGAGGGAGGAGGGAGCCCTGGAGGCCTGCCCACAGCCTGCCTTGACAGATTGCTCCCTGGTGGGTCAGGGCCTGGGCCGCCACCCCAGCCACTTTTCTCTGACTGCCATGGAGAGCCGCCCCAGAAGTGAGGTGGCTTCACTCAGGCCAGACTGCCCCGAGGGAGGCTGAGTGTCCTTCCCCTCCCCACCCTCCGCTGCAAAGGGTGGCAAATGGTTCCAGCTTTGCCTGTGAGCGGGCAGTCCCCCCCCCCCACCCCTGCTCACAGACGGATTCCTGGCTCCTGGTTTTGGCTGCCAAAAGTGGAAGGCCCGTTTTCTCCTCAGATCCCACAGAATAGTTCCACCCCTTGCGGCTGCTCTACAGGAGCAGAGGCTCATACAAGACAAGATAGAGGCAGCTAAGAGAGAAGAGGCACCACTCAGAGACCATGGGTTGCAGACCAGGGCCACCCCGTCTGCCCTGCCCCAGACCCTGCAGGATCCATCGGCCAGCAGGCTGGTACCAAGAAAGCCACCCTGGGGTTTTTACTGCAGACCATGGCTGAGGCCTCCAGGAGTCTCCAGATTTCCCAAGAATCCTTGCAGCCCCTGTCCCGGTCCCGCAGAAGGGAGGTAGCTGGCTCAGTAACTACCGAAGAGCAAGAAGTAGGGCCTGAGATTTCACATCAAGAAAAGCTTCCACTGCCAAAAAGAAAGAAGAAGAAGGAAGAAGAAGAAGAAGCCGCCACCGCCACCGCCACCGCCGCCGCCGCTACCTGGAAGCCACAGCATAGTGGAAGGAAAATGAAATTTAGAGTCAGATGGACCTAGCTCTCGACTTACACAGTGTGATCTTCTAACCTTCTGAGATGAGTTTCCTCATCTGTAAAATAGGAATAATCATACCACAAATGGTGCTATGGGGAAGGAAGCACTTCTCACTTTGCCTGGTACTCAGAATACATAAGTTTCAACACATGCCTTACACATTTCTGCACAGAAGCCAACTGTCTACAATTTGCCTGCCTGCCCTTTGACCTTTCACTATGGCTACCGGAAGAACTTGGACTCCACAGTTGGGCAGCAACTCTCTTTTGCACCCCCCACCCAGCAGCTGGTCAGAAGTACCTGGCAGTCAAAAGAGAGCACTGGGAAAGTCTGACTGCGGAGGCTCCCCGAATGCCTGGTGACTCCCCTGTGTGACTGGGAGTGGTCACAGGCGCTGCAGGACCAACACCGCTTCAGGACACCTCTGGAATGTGAGGGCCAAGGGAAGCAGCAGCATCAAGAAAAACTGCCACAACCCCGACAAGTTCTGTAGCCACTTGGTTGTCCCATTTTTTTCAGCCTCTATTAAGTACAATAATTAAAGCTGCATTTGCCTTTCTAATAATAGCTCCTGGCAGGGTAATTATAACCTCGTCATCCCAGCAAAGCCTGGAATGGGTGGAGGGGAGCTTTCATTCTGCAGGCAATGCCCTTTGGTTCTGGTTCAGAGCAGGCCTTGGCATGCTCACACTGCCCGGGGTCACCCAGAGCCCCTCCCCATAAGGCCCACCCCAGTTCCTGAGCAAGGGGCCTTCACCTCCCTTTCTTCTCCATGGCGTGCCCTGACCTTGGCATTCCACATTTTGCCTCCCTGTTCTCTATGGAGACAAAGCCAGAAAGCTGTCCCCTACCTTTCTAAAAGTCTCTCTGCCATAGTGACTGGTCCTGGAGAGTGACGGGTTATGCAGTCCCCGTGAGAAAAAACGTAGTAGGTCTCAATAACTACCTCATGAGCATATAATCACAAGAGACAATTCTAAGTACCTCCTCCTGGAAGACACTAAAACCTTACAAGTATTCATTCATTTAATCCTCAAAATAACCCTGCGTGGCAGGCTTCTATTACTATCCCTGATTTATAGATGAAAAAAGCCAAGCAGAGAGGTTAAATAAGCAGCTCTTTGTCCCCCAGCCAGTTGGGTTTGAACCAGGGAGTCAGATTCCACAGTCTGTGCCCCGAGCCACGGCCCAGCACTGCCTTCCCTACATGGTGCTGCCCGAACTGGAGGAACGGCAGGGCAGAGTGGTCTCAGATTAGAAGTCCTCGGTTCTGACCTGCACCCGCCATGTGAGCTGAGGTAACTCTCGGGGCCGCAGTTTCCTCACCCGTCCACTGTGGAAAGGAGTTCCAAACGCCTCTCCCCACCCCCAGAGATCAGTGAGATAATGGGCCTCGCAGCTAGTGGAAGACAATAATCAGGCACAAAACTACAATTTATCACAGTGCCAAACCAGAAACAACCCATCAATGGATGAATGAATCAATCGACTGTGGTATATCCATATCCACAATACAATACTCTTCCACAAAAAAAAAGAAATCAACCGTGGGCACACCCAACAATATAGATGAACCTCAAAATAATCATGCTGAGTGGAAGCCAGGCAAAAATACTCACACTGTCCGTTTCCTTTGTATACATTTCTGCAATGCAAACCAGTATTTAGTGACCAAGAGCAGATGGGGAGTTACTGGGCACTGAGGTATAAGAAGGAGGGATTGGAAAGGAGTACCAGAATTTGAGGGGGGATGAATATGTTCACTATCTCGACTGTAGTGGCAATCTCCCAAGTGTATACATTTGTCAAAACTGGTCAGACAGTACACTTTCAATATGTGTCCTTCATTGTACATCAATTACACCTCAATGGAGCTGCTTTAAAACAACAGAATGAGACTCCGTTTTCTGCCCTGACAGATTAGGAAAGATTAAACACTGATAATATCTAATGTTAGCCAGGATGTAGAGAATGAGAACTCTCACCCTGGGTAGCAATTAAAACTGGAACAATCTTTCTGGAGTGTAATTCAGTAGCAATCATGAAAGTCTGAAATGCAAATATCCATGACCCCACAACCGCAGGCTTGGATGCTGCCCTACTACACCGCACACAGACAAAGGTTACAGCACACGGAGGGGGCGGCGGGGCACAACGGCAGCGTGGCTCCGGACTCCACCTACTGGGGTTGACATCTGGACTCCAGTCCTGGCTGATCTTCAGCTTTGGTGTTTTTTGTTTGTTTTTTTAAAAGAATATGGTTTTAAAAAAAATAGAATAAAAATATGTTTTTTATTCTAGAGAGAGGAGAAGGGAGGGAAAAAGAGAGGATGGGAAACATCGATGTGACAGAGAAACATCGATGTTTCTCTGGTTGCTTTCTGTATGAGCCCCAGGGGACCAAACCTGCCACCCAGGCATGTGAGCTCTGACTGGGAATTGAACAGCAGGACGACACCCAACCCACTGAGCTACACCAGCTGGGGCTGATATGTAGCTTTGTCACCCTGCACCTCAGATTTCTGATCTGTAAAACAGGGATAAAAACATTTTGACCTCACGGGAGCTTCCAGAGAGTTAAATAAGATACTACCATTACATGCAAAATACCAGGAATGGTCCTTGCATGGCAAATGATAAAAATAAAAGCTTAGCTATTACAGCATTTTAATAAAGAGGAAAAAGATTGAGAACATCTTAAATGTTCATCAGTAGAATGGTTTGGTAAGTTATGGCACATCTTTTAAGATGAAATATTCGTGCTGCTTAAGAAGAAGGAATTTTCTATGTACTGACATGACAAGATCTCTAAGACTCACTGTTAAACTTAAAACAAATTGTTGAACATTATGTACATAGTGTGCTCCTACTTTTGGGGGAAGAAAGCTATTTGCGGATATGACAGTGGCTACCTCTGGAGTTGGGAGGGGTCCGGGGGGGAAGAGACACAACATTCAATATTTACTTTATGTCGTTCTTTAAAAAATATATTTTTTATTTATTCTATTTTTAGACAAAGGGGAAGGGGGGGAGAAAGACAGGGAGAGAAACATCAATGTGTGGTTGCCTCTCACACGCCCCCTATTGGGGACTGGCCCACAACCCAGGCATGTGCCCTGACTGGGAACTGAACCGGTGATGTGTGGTTTGCAGGCCAGCACTCAATCCACTGAGCCACACCAGCCAGGGCAGTTCTTATTTTTTAATTGCTACAGTAATCTTGCACACTCTTTGTAATGAAAAATAACAATAAAAAGACACAAATTATAAGCTACCTAACCTAAGGTACCATATAAGGTACCTGACCTAACCAGCGTGGCTCAGTTGCTTGGGTGTCATCCTGCAAAGTAAAAGGTCGCTGGTTGGATTCCCAGTCAGGGCACAGGCCTGGGTTGCGGATTCTGTCCCCAGTTGGGGCGTGTGTGGGGAGGCTATCTATGGATATTTCACTCTCTCGCCAACGTTTCTCTCCCTCTCTTTCTCCCTCCCTTCCCCCCTCTCTAAAAATAAATAACTGAAATCTTTCAAAAAAATTATAAGGCGGCAGAATTTATTCTTAATTTTTGCTTCTGTGCGTGTCAGTGAGATTCCAAGTTCCTGAATGACAAGTGACGTGTGTGGCATCTCTCGGCTGCCCCGGAGTGCCGAGCGCGGAGCCAGGGCCCTTAGAGTTGCTGGCAGACCAAACACACGCAGGATGCACGGAGGCCCGTCCAGCCCCTTCTCCCTGAAAGGCAGCCCCTGCGGCTGCTTCCCAGGGCTGCGCACTCAGGGCCCTCGTGCAGCCTAAAGTCAGTATTTCTTTTTTTCAGTTTTTGCCCTGAGCAATGCTGGAGGCCATGCAGCAAATTTACTCCTTAAAAAACAGCAAGGACATTTGCCTTCCAATCTGCCTCTATGAAAATGATAAACTTGGAGGAACAATAAGAACTTTTTAAAAAGACACAAACATTAAAAAGAGAAACCTGACGAAATGGGGGAGCCTCCATGCTGCCCGGCCCCTGACTGACTGACAAGCCACGTGGTCACTGGCCGTGGTCATCACACACCCCACACTTCTCACTCATCCCTGTGGCACCTTCCCAAGATCACCCTCGGAGCAGCTGCTACTACTCCTCTCTCGCTGCTTTCCAACCTTTCAGATGCACCACAGAGACTCAGAGATGATCTTGGCTGACGTGGGAGTTGCCGGGTTAGCGGTGGTGTCAGAAGCTCCCAGGGAGCTTAAAGGACCTTCACTTCCCAACCCAAAACTCTAGTTAACTCTCCTTTTTGAAAATGGGTCCCAGGTGATTGTATTATTGACCTCCCTCCCTGCAACACTGCCACCATTGAAAACCCACTCATCTGGTCCAATTTCACGTTACAGGTGAGGAAATGAAGGGCCAGGAACCGCTCCCCCCGCCCCCGCCTCCCCCTGGCCAACCCACTGCTGTGTGTGAGGGCTCGCCATTCCTTTGCCTGGGCCCTGACCCAACACCCCTCAGCCTCCTCCCCACCCCTGCACCCTGCCAGCTACTCCCCTGGGCAGAGCCCTGATCTCCATTCTGCCTCTGGCTGGGTTGCCTTCCCTGGCCATTTGAACTCTGACCTGAACCCTAACTCTAACATCCCACTCCCAAGGCCTGCAAGAAAAGCATCTTTACATCTTTTCTCTTCTTACCTTTTTTTTTTTTTTTTTTTTTTTTAGTTGACTCAACACTAAAAACTTGAAGTGACTAGAAAAAAACCCAGACTAAAAATCGTTCCTGGGTCTGACTTGCCTGAGGACAAGCAGCCACCCAGCAGTAGAGGCCCAGGGCCCGGTCCCTCTTTGTCCCACGCTCTCACTCTCAGCTATACATAGAGTCTGCTTTCATTGCAGTCCATGCAGAATCATTGCCTCAAGGGAAGCTAATCACTCAAAAAGACAAAAAGGCAGCCCTGTTTCTGGAAGGGCTGGGGCAAGGAAGACAGGGAAGACAGAAGCAGAAGCGGTGCATGTTGATGGACTTCGTGGTGGCCATTGGGGCCGCTGCTGCCCTAACGGAGCACTCCCTGACGGGGAGAACAGCCCCTCGGGGCTCTGGCTCCCAGGGCTGGGCTGTTCAAGGCCCGGCCCAAGCTGTATCAGCTCTCCTATAGGCAACTGAAGTTGCAAGAGTCTTGGAAGTAGCACCTTGCAACTGTAGGTTATTGCATCAGACACGAAAAACATGAACAAAGTGACGAACAGCCCTGTCAAGCTCTCAGACCTTGCTAGGCAACTGTCATTTCTGGGAGCTGACTTCTCAGGAAAGATGGTGTATTTCACCTACCTAGAGGAATGCTAAGTTCACTGAACACATCCTCCGGTTCCCAGCAAGGCAGAGAAAGGGGCTGTTTCAGCTCCACTTCTGTGTATTCTGGTGACCTCACGTCCAAAGATTTCACTTCCAAGTACCTGGAGTTTTCTGCAAAACACGAGCCAAAGCAAAGGACCAATGAAGTACATGCCTCCAAGAGTCCCTGCAATTCTACTCCTCATGCTGTGTGATCGGGACTGGTCCCTTGGACTGCTTAATTACATGGGGCCAGGGTGAGGACTGCTCATTCATTAAGAACCCAAGTGCTATAATTTAAGAGGTTTTTCCATCGCCAAAAGAATGCCACACACAAGGAAACGGCAAATCTCTGCCCTGGGCCTGTGGGGGATGGGCTGCCGAAGCCCTGGGTGTGGATGATCCACGCCATTCTCCCCAACTCTGTATCACTCCATCTCTGTAGGAGGAAGAATTACTGAAGGGCAAAAATTGTGCTGACGTGCACAGGAGCACCGCGGCTGGCAGCAAAGGCCGTGCCATTCCCTCACCCCGAGCTTGTAGAGCCGTGTTATTAAATATGAACTCCGAATACTGGGTAAGCTAATAAGCTATGAATGCTGTGCATGTTGAGGCTTATACCGCAAAAGGAAGAGGGTTCGATCAGAGCAAGGTGAACATTTCACTCCTTTATTCTTGCCTGCTCTGGACACAGCCCAGGCCTCAGTGTTTCTCTAGCAACGAGAAGGCAGCTCGTGACAGAGTTTCCATGGAGACTCGGATCCAGGCAGGTGAAAAACAGCTCAGGTCAGCTTGACATGGAGGAGAGCCCAAGCTTCCGGCTCCCCTACCAGCAACAGGGCACTGGGTTGAAATGCCTATTTCGAAGGCTTTGCTCTACACTTTCTGGGCCTGACTCCTGCCCACCCCACCCCCCTTACTACAACCCCTGGAATGCTACAGGCTGTCTGTGAAAGGAGTATCTGCTTATTTCCACAGGGAGAACAGGCAGTATTACTCCTCCTTCCTGCCCGCAGAGCCCTTGATGGATCTTAGTTTCCATTTGGCGGAGAAGACGGGGCTTAGCCTATTTTAAACTCTGTTTTGCATGATGTCATAGTGCCAGGCACAGACACAGCATCGCCTCCAATGGAGGCAGCAGAGGTCCTAGGACAAGTCTCATGTCACCATCGGAGCCTGGAGAAAAGTGGGTCTGAGGTGGAAAGAAGGGGGGTGGGCCATGCCCCTCAGTGAGCCCCTCATTCTTCCCTCTGCCCGCCCCTTGCTGCCCCCCCCCATTCCTGCTCCCTCCCTCGGGCCTCACAGAAGTAACAACCTGGGTGGTCCTCTGCCTCCTAGGCAGGCACAGAGGCAGCTGGCTGCCCCTAGGAACTTTGGCTGATAACTCAAAACTTTTGCTAATGTTAGTTATCAGAGTCCATCTGGGCTCCCATAAATTCAGAGAAATCTGTCCTATCTGAGTTTGCTTCTCAGAAAACGTGTGATCTCCGATCTGATTTCTTTTGCACCATTTGCCTGAAAGCTCTAAACAGTTTAACAGGCTTTTAGAAGCTCACTTTCTGCTCTAGCTTGAATGTGGGCTGAAACCTTTCTTATGTTTGCTCTGGCCTGTACGCGCCCGCTCACTTCTCTCGGTGAGCAGGGGTCCCGTCAACCCAACCACACAGGAGAAAAGGCAGGTAGTTACCCTGGGTCGACACTCCTTGGCAAGCCTGGCTTTGGAGGTCGGTTTCGGTGGGGGGGCTGGCTTTCTCCTCCACGGGGCTGCCTTCACCAGCCCCATCTTCGGGAGTCCCCTTGCCCTTGCTGTCATCAAGAAATGGGCTAGGCTGCCGGGCCCTCTCCTCCGCTGGCTTGGGGGAAGACATTTGCTGGAGTGCAGGGGACAGACGAACATCTGAGCTCTCTGCTCCCTTTGCCTGCTTCTCGTAGCAATCTGAACCCGCCAGTAAGAGGCCTGTCTCGCATTCAGCTGGCTTCTGCTCAGCCTCCAGATTTAGGCCAGGCATTTCCACGTCCGTGTCACTGGGACAGCTCGTGGAGGCAGAAGGCACTTCTTTGGGAGATTTGTGGCTGATTTCCGTGGCCCCATTACCTATGGTCTTGACCCCCTCCTTGGTGAAATCCGCGGCTAGGTCCAGGGGTAAGGCGGCTGTCATACAGGGACATATTTCTGGGCACAGTTTGTCCTTCTGGCCCATGGGCACGATCTCGTCCAGCTCTGGGATGTCCGGTTCCATGATAAAATCTTCTTCCTCCCCTACCTCGTCCACAGTCACCAGCTCCTCCATGTTTGTGGGGTACCAGCTCTCGTCCTCTGCTTCACTTCCACTCTCCCACTCTTGATCCTGAATGAGAATACAGAAGGGGGGGCAGAGGGTGCCTGAGGAGCAGGTCTGAGTCTTCAACCCGAGGGCACAAGCCTCTACCCCAGGACCCCTCAAACCAGAACGGTGCTGAGCATTCTTGCTTCTACCTGGGAATGCTTACTGGGTAACTAGAAGCTGCAAACCACTCAAGTCCCACATCGCTGATTCACCCCTAGGACGAGGCTCAAAACAGCACAGGATTTGGAAGAAGCCCTCCTTAATGCTTAATCTAAAAGAATTTGCTGCCACCAAGCCAGCTCTACAAGAAATACTAAAAGGTCTGCTCTAAGGAAAGGAAGGAAAAGAGACAGACAGAGAGGAACACAGATACAAAAATGGCAATGAATAAGTACCTATCAATAATAACCTTAAATGTAAATGGATTAAATGCTCCAATCAAAAGACACAGAATAGCGTCATGGATAAGAAAGTATGACCCACACATATGCTGCCTACAAGAGACCCACCTCAGGACAAAAGACCATCACAGACTAAAAATCAAAGGCTGGAAACAAATTTTCCAAGCAAACGGACAAGAAAAAAAAGCCGGGGTAGCAATTCTCATATCAGACAAAATAGACTTCAAAAAAAGAGCCATTAAGAGTGACCCAGAAGGTCACTTCATAATACTCAAGGGAAAAATCCACCAAGAAGACATTAACATCATAAATATATATGCACCCAACATAGGAGCACCAAAATATATAAGGAAAATCTTAGAGGAATTCAAGAAAGATATAGACAGCAACACAATCATAGTGGGGGATTTTAACACCCCACTATCAAAAATGGACAGATCTTCCAAACAAAATATCAACAAAGACATTGTGGCATTAAACAACACCCTTGATGAAATGGACCTAACTGATATATACAGAGCTCTTCACCCCAAAGAAGCTAAATACACATTCTTTTCAAATGCACATGGAACATTCTCAAAGATAGATCACATGATAGGGCACAAAACAAGCCTCAACAAATTCAAGAAAATTGAAATCATACCAAGCATTTTCTCTGACCATAAGGGACTGAAACTGGAAACCAACCCCAAAGGAAAAAACCCAAAACACCCAAAATCATGGAGACTGAACAGTATGCTATTAAACAATGAATGGGTCAAGAATGAAATTAGGGAAGAAATCAAAAAGTTTCTGGAAACAAATGAAAATGATCTCACAACAACCCAAAACTTATGGGATACAGCCAAGGCAGTCCTGAGAGGGAAGTTTATAGCAATACAGGCCTACCTTAAGAAAACAGAAACATTTCAAACAAATGAACTTACCCTACGCCTGCAAGAACTCGAGGAACAACAACAAAAACAGCCCAAAGCAAGTAGAAGGAAGGAAATAACTAAGATCAGAGCAGAACTAAATGACATAGAGACTAAAAGTACAATTCTAAAGATCAATGAATCCAGGAGTTGGTTCTTTGAAAAAATAAACAAAATAGACAAGCCTTTAAGTAGGCTCATCAAGAAAAGAAGGGAACGGACACAAATAAACACAATCAGAAATGAAAGAGGAGAGATTACAACGGATACCACAGAAATAGAGAGGATTGTAAGAAATTACTATGAAGAACTGTATGCCAAGAAATTTGAGAACCTAGGGGAAATGGACACATTTCTAGAAAAATATAATCTCCCAAAACTCAATGAAAAAGAAGTAGAACACCTGAATAGTCCAATAACAGCAAAAGAAATTGAAGCAGTAATCAAAAAACTCCCATCACACAAAAGCCCTGGACCAGATGGATTCACAGGAGAATTCTACAAAGCATTTAAGGAAGACCTAACGCCCATTCTTCACAGACTATTCCAAAAAATACAAAAGGACGGAAAACTCCCTAACTCCTTTTATGAAGCCAGCATCATCCTAATTCCAAAACCAGATAGAGATACAACAAAGAAAGAAAACTACAGGCCAATATCGCTGATGAACATAGACGCTAAAATCCTCAACAAAATATTAGCAAATCGCATCCAACAATATATCCAAAAGATTATACACCCTGACCAAGTGGGATTCATCCCAGGGATGCAAGGATGGTTCAACATTTGCAAAACAGTAAATGTAATTCATCACATAAACAAAAGCAAAGACAAAAACCACATGATCATATCAATAGACGCAGAAAAAGCTTTCGATAAGGTACAACACCCATTTATGATAAAAACACTCAGCAAAATGGGAATAGAGGGAACATTCCTCAATATAATAAAGGCCATTTATGAGAAACCTACAGCCAATATCATACTCAATGGACAAAAAACTAAAAGCTTTTCCACTAAGATCAGGAACAAGACAAGGATGTCCACTTTCACCACTCCTATTCAATATAGTATTAGAAGTTTTGGCCACAGCGATCAGGCAGGAAAAGGAAATAAAAGGCATCCAAATAGGAAAGGAGGAAACAAAATTGTCACTGTTTGCAGATGACATGATAGTGTACATGGAAAATCCTATAGACTCTACCCAAAAACTGCTCAAACTAATTAATGAGTTTGGCAAAACAGCAGGATACAAAGTCAATATCCAGAAATCAAAGGCATTTTTGTATACAAACAATGAATCAGCAGAAGCAGAAATCAAGGAAAAAATCCCATTCGATATAGCAAAAAGAAAAATAAAATATCTGGGAATAAACCTAACCAAAGAGGTAAAAGACCTGTATGCAGAAAACTACACAGCACTGAAGAACGAAATCAAGGAAGACACAAACAAATGGAAACATATACCTTGTTCATGGATTGGAAGAATTAACATCATCAAAATGTCCATACTACCCAAAGCAATATACAGATTCAATGCAATACCTATTAAAGTACCAATGGCGTATTTCACAGACATAGAACAAACACTTCAAAAATTTATATGGAATCATAAACGAGCCCGAATAGCAGCTGCTCTTTTGAGAAAGAAGAACAAAGTAGGAGGGATCACAATACCAGATATCAAACTGTATTACAAGGCCACTGTAATCAAAACAGCATGGTACTGGCATAAAAACAGGCACATAGACCAATGGAACAGAACAGAGAGCCCAGAAATCAACCCAACCCTCTACAGTCAATTAATATTCGACAAAGGGGGCAGTAACATAAAATGGAGTAAAGATAGCCTCTTCAGCAAATGGTGTTGGGAGAACTGGACAGCTACGTGCAAAAAAATGAAACTTGAGCACCAACTTACACCATACACCAAAATAAATTCAAGGTGGATAAAAGACTTAAATATAAGCCATGACACCATTAAAGTCCTAGAGGAGAACATTGGCAAGAAAATCTCAGATATTCCACGCAGCAACATTTTTACTGATATGTCCCCTAGAGCAAGGAATATAAAGGAAAGAATAAACAAATGGGATCTCATCAAAATAAAAAGCTTCTGCATGGCTAAAGAAAACAGTAATAAATTAAAAAGACAACCAACTGTATGGGAAAACATATTTGCCAATGATACCTCAGACAAAGGTTTAACCTCCAAAAGATACAAAGAACTTACACGACTCCACTCTAAGAAGACACCCAACCCAATTAAAAAATGGGAAAAGGACTTGAACAAACACTTCTCCAAGGAGGACATACAGAACATTCAGAGACACATGAAGAGATGCTCAATATCGTTAGCTATCAGAGAGATGCAAATTAAAACCACAATGAGATACCACTTTACACCAGTCAGGATGGCTATCATAAACAAAGCAACAAACAACAAATGTTGGAGAGGTTGTGGGGAAAAGGGGTCCTTAGTTCACTGTTGGTGGGATTGTAGACTGGTACAACCATTATGGAAAACAGTATGGAATTTTCTCAGAAAAATAAAAATTGACCTGCCTTTTGACCCAGCAATTCCACTGCTAGGATTATACCCCAAGAATCCTAAAACATCAATTTCAAAGAACCTATGCACCACAATGTTCATAGCAGCACAATTTACAATAGCCAAGAGTTGGAAGCAACCTAGGTGCCCATCAGTAAATGAATGGATCCAAAAATTGTGGTACATATACACCATGGAATTTTATGCAGCAGAGAGAAAGAAGGAGCTACTACCTTTTGCAACAACATGGATGGAACTGGAAAGCATTATGCTGAGTGAAATAGGCCAGGCATTGAAGGACAAATACCATATGATCTCACCTTTGACAGGAAGCTAAAGAATAAAACAAACAAGCAAACAGAATAAAAACAAAGACGCTGAAATAGAGAACAAGTGGGCAGCGACCAGAGGGGAGAGAGAAGGGAACTTAAGGGGAAAAAGGGGGAGGGATTTTGAGGAACAAGCATGAAAGACACAGAGTTGAGGACTGGGGCGGGGGGGGGGAATGGGAGGGAGGGGGGAGACCGGGCGGGGGGGGGGGGAAGGGGAAAAAAAAATGTACTTGAAAAGTAACTAAATATAAAAAAAAAAAAAAAAAAAATGCTTAATCTACCATCTTTAACATGGCATAAAGAAGTTCAACCTTTGGTACACAGGAACTTGTAAGTTGTTTTTGAATGAATACATGAATACATGAGTAAGTAATAAACCGTTAAGTATTGGAGCTGTTCCCTTGCAGGTAACACACCACTAAATGGAACTGCAGCAAAGTGCCTCATAAAACTCCCCTGAGCACCCTCTCCCAGCAAGGGAGCCACTTGCACAGCCTGGCGCACAGTAGGCCCCTCCCAACACTTCCCCCTGGTGACCCCCAGCAACCTACAGGCCCAGCAGCCAGATTTAGGAGATTAGCTTCCCGGGCAGTGATACCCATCTCTCCGCCTCTCCTGACCCATAAGGCATGAAGCTGGCCACATTCCAAGGACATTTCTTTCGGCTGTGGCAGCCCCGGCACTGTCTCTGGGTTTTTCATTTTAATTATGTAAAATAATCTTTACGAGCAGAGGAGATGTCTCGTTAATCCCAGAGTCTGGGCCTGCTGAGGTCAGGGCTCTAGATCGAGTACCCAAGCTCCCCTTCCTGTCCCAGTCCCTCCCAAGGGACTGGCCTATTTTGGGAGCCTGGCTCTGAAGCCCGAGTCTTTTTGGGGCACATGTTTTTCTTGCGGGCACAGCCCACTTGCTGGAGTACGGCAGAGCCCGGGCATGTGGCTGAGATCTCCCCGCCAGGACTACACAGAAGGCCCGGCAGAGCCGCTCCTCCAGGAAGTGCTGGGGAGGTGGCTTCACTCACAGAGCCACTGGTGGGGTCTCCAGCACGTCCCACATGGCGGGCACCGGAGCATCATGGGACAGGACAGGGACTCCTGTAACTTGGTTCCCAGTGGCTCAATGTGCAGACGGGGCTACACTGTCAGCACCTGGGACCAACCAGTTTTACCTTCTCTGTTGTGTTTTCTGGATCAGAGGACTCTGTTTCTTTCTCCTGCCTGCCCACCAGTGGGGTGTTTTCTTCCACGCCCTCTTTGCCAGCCTTGCCAAAGGAAGCACAGAACAGACCAAATCAACAGCAGCAGTGGCACAGAGAAAAGAGACGCTGAGGCAGTGAGCACAGCTAACAGCTGTTGGGTGTGTTGCACACACACTTCTTTTATCCTCCCAAAACCTCTCAGAGGCAGGTGCTATTATCTTCTTCTTCTTTTTACAGATGAGGAAACCGAGGCTCAGAGAGGTTAAGTAGCTCATTTAAGGTTACACAGACACAAGGAGTCCCAGAAATGTCTTAATGGTGTCTTAATGGTTGGATTGATACCTTTAGGTAATCAGAAACCCCTGGCCAACTGGACATTTTTTGCAGCTGTGAAGCCTGCCGACAGTTGAGGGGTCAAGGGGGAACTGGCCCTGGGGTTAGCAGCCATCATGGCGCCTCACCCCAAAAGATCTGTCTTGGCCATAAAATATCCCATCCAGGCCACTTATGGGTACGAAGGGGGCTGTCACCCACCAGTGCCCCCTCACCTCTCTTGTGCCCGTCTCTGTCCTAGAGCTGCAGCCCCATCTGGCCATCCCTCCCCTCCAGTGTGGTCCCTCCTAATAATGCTCAAGTCAGAGAAACTGAACAATTAAAAGCCATTGTCTGGGTTGAGAATTAGGGTCTCTCATCAGCCTTTAAAACAGGGCTCAGCAAACTGTAGTTCTCAAGCCAAATCTGTCCAATGCCTCTTTTTGTAGTCTGAACTAATGATGCTCTTCACATTTTTAAATAGCTGCATTTTCCATGATTATATAAGTACCTATATAATATCCCCAATTTCACTCCTTAGCCCACACCTAAAATATTTACTATCTTGTGTTTTGTAGAAAAAGTTTTGCAACCCCCATTTCAGTTTTGGGAGGATATTCTCTCATCATTTGATTTTTGGCTGCCAAATCCATGACTATTCCTGGGTTCCCAGGGGCAAAGTGCATTTTCTCAACCTTTCTGGCTGAGGTTGGCTTAAAAAATAAGTGACTGCACTTCTGATTTCTTAAGAGCAGACGCACCCCTCCTGAGCTGAGAAGAGCCAGCTGGTGCAGGCGGGAGCTCAGGGCTGACTGGTTTAACCAGTTACTACCAGACAGGGGAAGACAGTGGAAACCCTCAAGTCCTTACTCTTTCCAGTGTTTGGAGCACAACACCCCACCCGAGCCCCTGCTCAAGTCTCCCAAGTTGACCTAAGGGCACAGCCGCTCCAATGCCTTTTTAGCCATCAGAAGAACCCACAGCTTCTATCAAGAGGGGGCCACTTTCCTTTATTTTTATCTTCCCGAATAAATTATCCATGACCTCCCCTTGTCAAAATACATAACCCACAACCTTCCCAAGCAGTTACTGCAGCCGTACTCCCGAGTCAACACAGTAAAGGGAGCCTCTCCAGTTCAAGCTAGGAGATGGAGGGACAGCCTGGCCAGGCCAGAAGCCCTCCACCAGGCAGACCCCTGCTCTTCCTCCTGCACCCACAAGAAACAGAGCAGTGCCTTTCCGTGCACCTGTGGCCCTGGGACCACTGGTAGGTGACAACAGCAGCTTAAGAGAAACAGACAAATGCTGCCCATGCACCCCACTGCCTGCACCAGCTCAGGGACCAAGATACTAGGTCCCAATTGTTGTTGCAAGCAGGGCTCTGTCACCCTGGGGCTATGGCCTCCATAAGCCACCTCCTAATTGGTCTCCACCTTCTGCTCCAGGTACTCCAAAATGTAAAAGCCACCATGCCCTCACTGCACCTTTTAGCTTAAACATTTCATTTGCCTTCCCTTGCACTTAGGATAAACAAATATCCTTAACCTGCCTCCAAGGCCTGGTGCGATGTGGCCGCTGCTAAAAAATCAGCCTTGCCTCCCACCCTTCTAACCCAGTGTTGCTCCAGCAACACTGGCCTCTAGCCCCTGGGCCTTTGCATATGCTGTTTCCTTTCTCTGCTCTCATGCCTTTTCACCCAGTAAATACCCACCATTCCTTCACATCTCAGTAGTCCCATCTTCACCTAGGGAAGCTTCTGATTGGTTACAGGCAGTGACCGCTGTGTATGCCTCCATCTCCTCCTTAGCACTTAACGCTCACACTCTCATACTCACTTGAGGAATTATTGGATTAGTACATCTTTCCACTAGACCATGAGCTCCATGAGATGAGGGGTCATTTCAGCTTCACTCTCAACGAGCCTTAGTGCTGGGTGCTCCGTGGGTATCGGTCAATAAAAGAACGGAAAGTGGTAGGAGAGCGGGGCACGCACAACAAGTTTGCACCTGCCTCCCAGTGTGTGTGGGTCTCTTGGGCCTGGGCTCTGAACTGAGAATCAGCGGTTTTCTATCTCTCCCTCCTACAGATGGTTTATAATGGCAGCTGCACCTTGGGGACCGCTGGGCTCCCCCTGTCCCATGACAAGTTTTGGTCTACACAGTTTCTAACATGGGGGAAATTTCAACAGATATCTGGACTTGGGTCTCGCTCTAAGGAATGGGAGACCCCACAGCCCAGGGCATGCATTTCTGGATGACAGGCACAGAATGGAGCAGGGCAGTGGCTGTCTGCTTCCAACAGACAGGCCCCTCCTCTCCACCTGGGTTCACTCACATGACCCAGTCTGTGTCGCCTGCCTGGCTTCTCTCCTCTAGGCATCTGGGTCTACAACCCTTGGTCCCCCTTCCAGTGAGGTGGAGGAGTGCTTCTTTCCCATGTCCTCCCAAGTCAGTGACTTCATTTACTCCCTCCCTCCTATGGTCTTGTGGTCAGGGGTGGCTCTTAGGCATGGACCTGGCCACCCATAAACACTGCACAGTCACGGTACCAGCTTCTCCAGTGCGGGCCCTTTCTCCAGAGATCCCAGAAGGTTTCTAACAAGCACAAGCTCATTAAAGTCCTGCAATAGCCTTGTGATCACACCCATTTCGCAATCAAGAAAACTGAGGGAAAGAAGAACGGGGTGTGACCTGGTTCTCAAAAGCCAGGCCTTTGCCCCCAGAGTCTGGGTTTGGTCATTCATTTCTTCAACACAATGTGTAATGAATTGCCCGCGCTAATCTAGGGACTGGGAACAGAGCAGTGAGCACAGCAGACAAGAATTCCTGTCCTTGTGGAGGTTACAATGGGGTTGGGGGGCAGTGGGTAGATGTTAAAAAATAAATAAATAAAGATGTTAGGGGATAAGTTAGGAGAGAGCTGCTACCAAGGAAAGGAAAGCTGGGAGGAAACAGAAGTGTGTCACTGTGATTGTGTGTGGTGGCCAAGATAAACGTGTGGAGAATGTGACAACGACCAGAGACAGAGGAGGGGAGGTGGGACCCACATGGACGCGTGGGTGGGGTTCCTAGGCAGGGCCCGATGGCGGGAGGTGCCTGGCATATTAGAAGACAGACAAGGACACTGTCCTCAGCCCTGTTGTTTTTGTTCCCCAAGTCCCATCCCTTCTGTCTATTACCCGAGTCCTGGGCAGCCCTGTGGGAATCTGGGTTGTTCTAAGATCACAAAAGAGTCTGAGATCAAGGAGGAAAACTCTTTGTTCTGCTGTTATTCCACCAAAGAGTGATGGACTCCCTGGCTTCAAACCCACAGAACCAGTCCGTGGGGGCCCCAACAAGTCCCTGCTGACCCCACTCCAAGGCTACGAGAGACAGAACCCACGAGAGGGACAGATGGTGGGAAAACCCATGAGGCTTTCCGGGAATCATTTTTGCTTCAGGGGCTCTCAGGGTGAGCTACAATGCGAGTCCCCTTAAATGGGCAAGGGTGGTGCAAACCAGCGAAGGGCGGATAACAGCAGGAGAAACGAGGTTACCAAGGAGGAGTCTCAGAGGGTGGGTAGGAGTGTGAAGGGGCAGCTCCACCGCTCTGCTGTGGGGACAGGCGGTTCTCGACTAGCAGTGTGAGCCCTTGCTCTCCACCCCTCTGTGCCTTTCCTTGAATCACTGACCAGTCACTAGCGCCTGGGATACCTCCAAGCATATATAGTTGGCCCTCCGTGCCAGCAGGTTCCCCATCTACAGATTTAACCAACCTCGGATAGAAAGCTCAGAAACTAAAGCTACATTGTTGTTGATACATGCTACGTAGTTGCATCTTTACTGAGCATGTACAGACTTCCTTTTCTTGTCATTATTCCCTAAAGAGTACAGCATAACAACTATTTACATAGCATTTACAGTGTATTAGGTATTCTATAAGTAACCTGGAGATGATTTAAAGTGTATGGAAGAGTGTGTATAGGTTATATGAAAATACCACACCATCTTCTACAAGGGATTTGCGCATCCTCAGATTTTAGTATCCGCAGGGGTTCCTAGAACCAATTCCCAGGGACACTGAGGGAGGACTGTACCCTCTTCTTAAAAACATCCACCCATTCATAAGCCCTCAGGATCCAGTCCAAGTTCTCAGCGAGATGCCGATCCTTCACGTTCCCCCTACCCACCCTCTGGTCTTATCTCCTGACCTTCCTCCTGCTAGGCCAGCCAGGAAAAAAAGTGTGGTGCACTTTGAGATGGACAAAGATCAGTGGGTGTCCTTTCAATGGAATGCTGGGCAGTTCACCAGCACACCCTTCAGGGTATTGAGTTCCACCGGAGTCTGTACCTTAACTTGAACTGGGCTGTTTTACAACTCTGTAAACTGCAGATAACTGATAGTTGAGCAAAAGATTCTTGTCCAGAGAGATGTGAAGGAATTTTATCTGGAGGAGCCGCAATTTTATCTGGTCCTGGGTTCCCTATGAGCGAGGTCAGATTTGCCTCTGTTGGCAAATTCATGTCCAAGTTCTACATGATTGCCTCTACACGTTGCCTGATTTTTAGATTTTCCTTTGAACTGGCTTTTACATCTCACGGTTCCCTCATTCATTAATGAGTTAAATAGCATCTTTGACATGCACCCACTTTATGTTTGCACAAAAGCCAAGATTTTACTTTTGAAAAACACGATCCTTTAATACGCCCTAAAGGTGCAGTCATGCCGACTATGTCCAGGTTTTTCAAGCCACTCTGCCTTTCTCACTTTTGCCCCAGCCGCTTCCCAAACTGCTTTCCCCCCAGTCTCAATGCTCCGCTCAAATGTCTCCCTCCCTGTGCAGAGTCAGCTGCCCCCAGAGCAGCTCACCTGCGCCTCCACTCCAGCACGGGCGGCCCTGGATGTAAACTGTTTCTGTGAATCTGCTTCCACCATTACACCCTGGCCTCCTGCCGTAACATAAACTGTGTCCTGTTCCCCTGTTCACCTCCCTGTGCCTAGCATACCAGCTAGCAAAGTGGCATGCTAAAATAGTGGCCAAAAATGTGACTCTTCAGTGTTCATGGAGCTGAGAACTGGGCTCCTTGTTTGGACTTAATATGGTCACCAATGCCTGGGTCAGGCTAGGAGGCACGCCTGTAGGATTTAAAAAACTGGGTTCTCTGTGTAGACCCCTAACCTCCACTACTCCTCTCCTACTTAAACAAAGGTGGTCTGGCAAGAAGAAAGTGTATCCAAGTCGGACTATGAAGCTGGGACATACCCCAGGTTTTCCCGGTGACCCACTGTGTGAACTGAAGCCACGCAGCAGGTTACAAGCCCTTTCAGAGGCTTCAATGACAGATGCCAGCCAACTGCAGAGCGTTTTTATGACAGTGGAAGTAACACACTGTGGACAGTGCCTAGAGAAACAGGCCACACCCTGGGCGCTCAGTATAATAGTGGGTGGTGGCTGCTGCTCCTTTACCGCCTCCCGTCGCAGCCCCAGGATTGGTAGATGCTTTTGGCAGGAGAGAAGACAGCGGAGCACGGATCTCGTCCGCCCTGGCAGAGTCGGGAGGTGCAAACGCCGTGAGGCACTCCGCCCCGGACACACAGGACACAGAAGACCTTTGCATCGCCCCCCTCCCTCACTTCTGGTGAAGACACCAGGGTGCTATCGCCTTTGGAGCGGGCCATCCAGGAGCACTGCCAGCTCTGCCATTCCCTGGCTGTCTGTCCTTGGGCAACCAACTTAAGCGCCCTGTGCCTCCGTCTCCTCACCTACGGTAATAATTACGTTAGTGGTATGATTACCTCATAGGGCTGCTGGGAGGATTAAATGACCTGACTGGGAAAAAGTGTTTCCCACCGCACCTGGCAGAGAGTAAACATTCACTAAGTGTTTCACTCATTCGGTAGATGTTCCTCATCCCTCTGTTAACATAATCATCCCTTGGGACCTGCCTCTCCTTACCTGGGGAGGAGATTGCGTCATTACCTCATTCTCTGCCGTTCTGCTTTCTTTTCTGTCATCGGCTCCCTCCTGGTCTTTGTCAGGTCTCTTGGCTCTGCTTTTGTCACTCTGTTTGGCCTTGGTGTTCTCAGGGGCCCTGGTGACCTTGGGCTCCAGCCCGCCTTCCTTGCCCGCGTTGTCGTGGTGGGGGTGTCTGCTCTCCCGCAGCCTGGCCTCCTCTTTCCTCTTGGGCCTCCCGGGGGCGTCCTGCTGCTGCTGCTGCTTTAGATACTTGTCCGACTTGCCCTTGGGCTCCTTCCGGTAGTAGCCGTCTTCTCGACTCTTGTAGCTCGACGCGGAGTGGAGGGGGCTGGGGGACCCGGGCCTCGGGTGCTTTTCTCGGTGGCCCCTCGCTCCTGCTCCTTCGAGTCGCTCCTCTAACTCGGCTTTGTCGAGGGGCCTCGGGTAGTGTTTGCGATCATGTGCCCACGTGTCTGTCTTGTCCCGCTTGTCCTCCCCGTTCTCCCTCCAGGGGGCCGGGTCTCGGTCTTCCTCCCTCCTGGTGTAGGGAGAGTGCTCCCAGGAGTCCCGGCCGTTGCCCCAGTCAACCCTCGAGAGGCCCAGGGAACTGTGGGAGGAGCTGCAGGAGGTGAAGCTCGGAGTGTGGGACCTCGGGGACAGTGACCGGCTCACGGGACTGCGAGACCGTGGCCTTTCGGGGCCGTATCTGTGAAGAAGCAAAGGGGAGGCGTGGGTTTTGGAGTGTGCACCTCTCCAGCCCTGCACCCAGGTATCCCCAGGCTCTCCATAGAAGCACCGCCCATAACGCCATCAGCTGGGCAGCACTGCTGTGCGGGTCACACGGACGGGGGCCCAGCAGAAAGCTTTCCTCCTGCCTGGCGTCCGGGAGCAGGGGTTTCCCCCAAGCACAGGTCTGGTTGCTCTGGCCCCGTACTCACCGTGCTCCTGGGATTGCAAGGAATAATCGGGCTGGTCTGGCTCAGCCCAGTCTCTCTTCCTCTCGGAAGTGAGCTCAGCTCTCCTGGGAGTGTGCAGGTGGAGATGTGGGCAGGGTGGTCCTGCTCCAGCCTGATGGGCAAGGCTGCCTAGCGCTCAGGTTCAATGACCCGGCCTCTGGGCTACAAGAGTGAAGCCACCTCTCCACCTCTGCCTCTGTCAGCATAAGGGTGACCTCCTAGACTCAGGTTCCCTTATTGCTCTTCACAGCTTGTTCAGATCCTGGGCTAACTGCTGGGGATCGGGGCGTTGAGGAGGAGAAGGCGGGCTCAGAGAATCCAAAGCCAAAGAACTAGCATGGCATTTTGGGGTTGGGAGAGACCTTAGAGAACGGACCTGGTAGTGCTTTGATGAGGAAACTAAAACCCAGAAAAGGACCCCAAGACCTGCCTAAGGTTCCGAGCAAGATCTCCTAGCTCACCCCACCCCAACCCCCCACCACGGAACTGCAGGAGGCACAGGACGGCTTTACACATACTTTTTAAAGGCAAATAATCGTGGTTTAAAAAAAACAAAGAAACAAAAATCCCAAACCTAAACATCTACATACAAAAATAACACCCCCCTCCCACACATACGCTGTGAAGGTTGTTCAGTTATTTAGCGGGTAAACCATGTACCCAACATTCTAAAAGGATGGGCAATTTTCATTTGGTTCCCAAACCCAGGAAAACCAAGCAGCCCTCACTGACCAGGGGACATGGAGATGCAGCCCCTCTAGGACCGGGCGGCCCCCCAGGACCTGGTGGCCTTGACCACCACAGGGGAACAGCGCAGGCTCAGCCCCTGGCAGTGATGTCAGAGTGCCACCTGAGGCAGGCCTGGTAAGAACCCCAAGATGAGCAGGCCAGGGGCCCACTCCTGCTGCTCTCCACCTTGCCTCTCCACAGGGACTGTCTTTGCAGGGCAGTGACAGTGGCCAACTTGTAGCCACAGCTTGGTGTGGTCACAACTTCAGTTAGGAAACTGAATGCCTTCAGTGTTCACAGAGAGTGGCCAAGTAACTGCTTTTGGGGAGAGCATTTCCATTCCTGTCCCTACACCTACATTTAGCCATGAAACATCAAGAGCTGGGTGTAAACAGAACATGCGCACACACGCACACTTTCAGGCTGTTTTAACCTGAAACTTTTAGACCTGCCTCTAAGCGCCAATTAGTAATAGACCCCTCCTACACTCCTTTCTAACAAAGAAGGAGCCGCTGAGAGGAGCTCGGCATCTCACATTTTCCTGAGGTTTGACCTGAGCTGCGCTTCTGACTGGACTGGTGTGTTTCATCGCACAGAAAAAGGCAGCGTCCAGAAAGGCTGCGGACAGGGCGGGGGGGGGGGGGGGGGAAGGGCGGGGCACGGTGTGAAGGGAAAACCCTCCACAACGATAAAGAGGAGAATGTCCCACTGCCCAGCCTGTGCCCTGAGGTCTGGGGCGGGGCCTCACCTGCCTGCTTCCCGGAACATGTCCCTCTCCCTCTGGGAGTGGATGTCCTGGATGATGGCCGCCACGTTTTTCCCAGGTTTCTAGACAAAGTGAGAGAGGTCACCATCAGGCCAGAGACAGGCTTGCAAGTACCAGAGGGAAGTAGCTAGGCTGTGGGTTCATTGTCCAGTCTACCAGTGGGGAAAACATGCCTTTTTAGGGGGAAAAAAGTTTAACCCAGGGGATGAAGAGCGTGAGCATAATGCTGAACAGTGGTGGGCTGAGTGGTCCAGGGGACAGGGTGTCCATTGAGCTGGGGAAGCAAGGAGCCCGGTGGTCACCCTGCGTGTGCTGGGGAAGAGTAGCATTTGTTCACACCTGCCTCCCACCCTTCCTGCATAAAAGCAAACATCGAGATGTAAAAGGGAGAAAGGGGAAAATGGAAGAAGAGAGAGAGAAGAAGGAGGGAGGGCTGGCGGGCTTTATAACTTGGAAAGAGACTTGAAAATCACTGAATGCAGCCCCTACGTTTTACATGTGTGAAAACCAAAACCCAGAGGGACTGAGGCAGACTTCTGCCTTGCACAAGGCCAGAGTCACCAGCCACACTGTCTTCTAATGTAGACGTTGACTCCTGGAGTAGTGCTGGGTTAAGCAACACGTTCAAGGTCATAGAGATCCTTAGAGAATCGGAACTTGACAATAGGCACTTGACCCGCAAGATCCTTCCCAGGACCCAGGCAGCCCCTGGCTCCAGTGGGCTCCTCCACAGGGTCCACCTGGTGCTCCACACTCGTCTGTGGGTGAGCGGGCAGCACAGGCTGGCAGCCATGGCTCACAGCGGAGGACGCCAGGCGCTCAGAGGCCCCACCCACTCCGGAAATCACTATTTGGTGGCTGTGCCAGAACCGAACCAACCCCAGTCCCCAAATCCCAACCAAAGCCCTTTCCTGAACCCAGAATGGAAAATAATAACAAAACAATAAGAAATAAGTGATGAAAAAAATGGAATTCATGGGCACAAAATAAAGGCAAGAGCGTCTTCCAAAAGAGTACACAGAATCCATCCATTCCATTAAAAGGTACAGAGCAGGGTGAATTTTATGCTGTGTAATTACATCTCGATAAATCAAGAAAAACCTTGGTCTGCAATGTCAACGGTTGATGAAGACTTTTATTAAGAAATTTAATCCATGGCTGTTTTTATCCTCAATTTTTAAATATACTTTATGAAGAATTGTGACATCTCAGAACTACACAAATATGAGAGATCATCGCATATCTCATTTTACAGATGGGAAAACCAGGGCCAGAGACCTGCAGTGAGCCACGTGACCAGTGGGACTGGAATTCTCTGCGCCCTCTGAGAATTCCACCCGTGTCCGCCCTGAGATGGAGGGTTGGGCTGGGGAACTGTGAGTCAGGGAGAGAATGAAGGGACGGTTCATCTCCTGTGGTTTCAGGGAGAAGGGTCAGGGCTGAGACACAGGGAAGGGACGCAAAATGTGCAAGCCAGGAGGGACCTCTAGTCTGTGGGAAATACAAAAGGAAGGAATGGCAAGGAGAAGGCAGGGTGCCTTCCCCGAGGTCGGGAAGGAGGAGGCCCAGAAGCCAGTATGACTCTGCTCAAGAAGAGGCCCAGGAACTGAGCCCTGGTCCGGATACCCACATGAAAAAAGGCCTCAGAGTTTGGCAAATGCTCTCTCTCATCTGATCGTAGCTGTAAGGGTTGACCTTCTAGGAGTGTATGAAAGTGTCACCTAGAGGTCACCAGACCACCCAGGGCTTGCCCTGTCAGCTACCCCTTTATTGACTTAACCTGGACCACAAGCAGAGACCGAGGCCAACCAAGAAAATAAACTGAGGGACCATCTCTCCCTCCCGGCACAGAGCCTCGCGTGGAGCTGGTGCTCCACGGTAACTGTTCCCAGAGGAACCGCAGGAGAGATGCAGGGATGGAGCAGCAGAGAAGAACAGGGAGACCTGCAAAGACTGCGTGCCAGGGCTGCTGGTCACCAGCACTGTGACGCCGCACCCTGAACACTGGCGGCCACTTGCTCTATTGGAAGTCGTAATTCCAAATTGATGGCATTTTCTGGCCCAAAGACCTGAGAAAGGGACAAGAGTGGCCAAAGACTTTCAAATAACATATCGACTTCTCGCAGCCCTAAGGAAGTCCTCAACCTTTCTCTCTAGGCTTGACCTTGTCCTCCTCCTGTGGTTGAGGGTGTAAAGGGGGCAAGTAAAATAAAGTTATAATCACTGCAGAAAAGAGAAAATGGGAGAGAATGGAGCAGGTCTGCACTGATGTTCTGGGTACCTTTTTATTGCAGAAAATTTCAAATACACACAAAAGTAGAGAGAATGGTATACTGAACCCCCTTTTCCATCATCAAGGATTATGACCACTCTTGTTTCACCGATACTCCCACTCTCTTCCCCGCCCCGTCCTGGAGTGTTTTGAAGCAAATCCCAGACACAGCATCTTTTTCATCCATTCTGATTACACTGATGCAGCTCAACATCTCCCCAGGGGACCACCCCCAGTGCTCGGTCACAGTGCTCAGTGGTCACGGTCATCTTGCTGCATTTAAGACGAGGGTGAGATGCCAAGCCCCTTGTGGTCCTAGCTAAGTGCTGTCACACTCACAGGGAAGCACCAAGGCCTGAGGATCTCCCCCAGGAAGAGCAGCTCCATGGCTCTGCCGCCAGCGGGCTGGGTCATCTGGGGCCCAGGCTCGCTGCCTGTGAGAGACTCACTTACTTCATCTATGAGGTGAGATAATGAGGCCCATCTGGCATCCACCGGGAGCCTCCGGGCATGGCAGGCAACGCTGACAAAAACCACAAGTGCTGGACCAACATGAAAGAAGCTGCGAGAGGGCTTCCTGCCCTCTGACCCCTCCTCTGCTGTTTCACATGCCTCAAGTGTCCTGGGAAGATGCTGAAACCTTCCGGAGGGCCCTGAGCTCGTCAGAGCCTTGCTGCCGCCATGGCCTGGTTGTTTTCAGCATCGCTGTGTCGTCCAGGCTCCGCATCTCTTCCCACCCGATTCCCCTACCCGGAAGCCCCCTCTCTGCCTGGGTCCTTTGTCTCATTCTTCATGGCCCTACTCAGTAATCTCTCCCTTCTTGACACAACCAAGTTACACTGCCTTTTGTCACTAAGCTTCTACAAGCTCCTGTACTTATGCACTCATGCTTAAATCTTGTATCATTTTGCACAAGAATAGCTTGTCTCTCCAGTTAGACAACAAACTGTCCCCGTGTGAGACCATGTCTCACGCTCACTGTAGCTCTCGGCACATAGTCTTACATGGAGGAGACCCTCAGTCATCGTTTGCCGATTTCATCTTCCTGAGAGCAGCATGGACCATCCCCAAGACTGCTGCCCAGGGCCAGAGACCCTCTGTGTGGCTAGGAGGCTGGCAAGGCCAGTGGCTCTGAAACCAGGCCCTCTGCCCCCAAACCACCTAACAGCCTCAATCTCACCCTAAACCTACTGAAGGAGAAATCTGGCAGGATCTAAAAACTGCCCTGACAATTCTCTGATGCAGTGACTGGGAGGCACTGGTTCAAAGTATTCCAAGTTCCCTCCCACATGTAAGAGCCTATCCTTCTGGGGGAGTTTTAGAGAACCAACCAGAGAATAATTCAATCTTCTTGTCCAGGTCTGCAGGAAGAAAAATACTCACTTGTTGCTGCTAAGGATTTTCTCTGTCTCATTCATCCCATGCACTGGTTGGATACCTGTCATGTGACAGGTTCTGCCCCAAATGCCTCCACCACGAACAGTGTTTAGGGAGACTGCATTTTGGCATGAGGAATACGCAAGACAGGAAATGAAAAGGGCCTTAAGACCTCTTCTTTCTCCCCCTCCATTTTGCCTGGTGAGCAAAAGCTAAGGTTAGAGGAGAAAGACCAATCAAAATTTCCCCCACCTCTGCAAGCCCCAGTGGGACCCTATGTGGTGGCTCCTTTGGCTCAGACACACGTATGGATACAGTGTTTGGCTGTTTCCCTCCCCGCAGTCATTTCCCTTTCTCCACCCCTCCTCCGAGGATACAGCAGGTGACACGGACCTCGCCAGCTACCGCACAGCCACCCCCTGGGCATAGAGATTGTTTCAGGAAAGGACACATGTCCTAAACTGGCCCGATGATCAGAGTGACTCTCGGGGCTTCCGTGGGAGCTGCCAGGAAGAACTTGGGCTCGCTCTTGTTGAAGGAAACGGGAGGATGAGAAACCAGAGCTGCCGAAGTCAATGAAGCCATCACGCCACCTAGAGGAGACAGCCGGGGGCTGCCGGGGGCTGCCCGGGGCCATCCCAGGGACACCCCAAAACAAAAGCCAAGGGAGCAGAAAGCAGCGTGGAGAGAGGCCAAGTCCTAACACCATGACTTGGGCCCTGACTCTAGCCATACCTGCAGCCAGGCTACTCCTGTACTTTTTATTCACATGAGCCAATAAATTCACTCATTTCTTTCCTTCTTTCTTCTTTTTTTTTTTTAACTTTAGTTAATATGCTTGCTTAATTGATACAAATTTCTGTTCCTTGCAAATTCTAGCTGATTGATTCTAGCTGAGAAAATTCTAGCTGATGTCAACTTAGGGACCATAATGCATGCATTGCTGTGTAGTTGAAACATGCTTTGGGATGCTTTCACATAGAGGCAGTATGAAAGCTTTGGGGAGCTGAAACCCCTTATGAAAGGTGAGAAACAGTGTGTTCTAGACCCTGGCTGCTCCAAGTGTGCTCTGAGGACCAGCTGCATCAGCAGCTGTGGGAGCCTGTTAGCAATGCAGAATCACAGTCCTGTCTGAGACCTACTGAATAGAAATTTTAACAAGTTCTATTTGAGAAGCTCTGTTAGAATACCACTGCTGCGTACGGGCTGGGTGGCTATAGCAAATTACCACGTTTCTCTCTGATTTTTCACATGGACAATGGAGATCATAATAACACAGTGTAGGGATGTGGCTATGGTGCAAAACCAAAACAGTCCTAGGTTTTAATCCTGGCTCTTCCTGTAACTAGGATCTTGGGCCAGTTACCGAACTTCTACAAGCCTCAGTTTCCTCATCTGTGAAAGTGAGTTTAACACTACTACCTATTTGACAAAACTGATGGAAGAATTACAGGAGACAATGTATTTACGTAAAGTGCTTGGCACATTGCTTGACTCAGAGTAACAGGACTCAATCAAAGCTACATACACTTGTTCTTATTGTTGTACTGTTATAATTACTGTTATTGTCCACCCTACATACCTCACAGGAGGGAGGAGTGTGAGACTCAAAGAGACAATGTAAGAAAAAGGCGCTCAGAACCAAAGGACTCAAGGTATGGTCCTTTACTAACCTGGATCCTGAGGCTCAGAGTTACAGCAGCTTGTCCAAGCTCATCAAAGCAGGGAGGGGCAGGGCCCAGGGTGGCACCTCCACCCTCCAATCCAGCGTAGCTCACAGGGTGTGGGTGGAGATGTTTTGCCTGTTCTTCTCCAAACAGACTGAGCTCCACGAGCTTCCTGCCTCCACATCCACGGTGCTACCCACTTGCTGCCCACTGCCCACACTGGGCACAACATTTGCTGAACGCAAGCCTCGACCATATGACTTTTTAATCTGTGGTGCATTCACCACCCCAAACTACCTACCTCCCCTGGTAAGGTACTGTAGTGCCTCAGTGCCTTAATTTGAGAGGCTGAGTACTGCTATTAATCTTAATTAGAAATTACAGCAACACTGTATTTGGAGACCAAAACTCCACTGGCCAGTCCTCACACAAATCCAACTTCAGCCCCTGGGGAAAATCCAGAAGAATAGGAACTCCAGCTGGGCGGAGAGTGGGGTGCGATCTTTCACTTGTCTGAGAAAAGTCACGTGCTTTCATTAGTCAGAAAAAAATGCCAGTTCCTGCCAGAACTGTTGGCAAAGGAACTTCAGAAGCAAGACTGCAAGCAAAGCAGAATCGGGGCTTTGGAAACTGGTTGACATGTACCCGATCTACATATGCAGACCTGCCAGAACGCTGTCCCGGCCAGAAACAGCCTCCCAGCCCTTGTCTGATGTCAACCTCAAAGGCAGTTTGAGGGCTGTGGGTCTTAAACAGAATGGACCCCAGGTAAGTGTGGGATGAGCTGAAGTGACCTGGGAAATCCCTATGACACAGGACAGTAGAAAGCACAAGATGAAGGTAGATTTAAACACAAATCTAGCATTAGTGACAATGAATCCAAATGGGTGAAGTGCTCTAGTTAAGTGGACTCCTGCAGACCATGAACAGAAGCACCAAAAAAAAAAAAAAAAAAGCAGGGCAAACGCCTTGAAAAGAAACCTTGTACCAGAGAAGACCCAGATGGAATAGCCAATAACCATAGAAAAGAATGCTCAATTTCCGTCAGTAACCGAGAATAAAAAGTAAAACCACGATAAACCATCACACCCTCCCCAGATGGGCAAAAATTAAAGAGTCAGATAAGACAAAATATCCGTGAGAACACGGACCATTGAAAACTCTCAGTTTCTACTAGTAGGAGTGTAAATGTGAGACGACTAATTTTGAAAAGAGCTGCTACTATCCAGTAAATTGGAGGGTCTGCCCGCCCCCGATCCGGCAGTTCTACTCCCCGAGTTCTGTGCATGTCGGTGCACATGTGCACAGGACAGCATGTTTGAGGACGTCACCGCGGCATTGTCCCTAACACCCGAAAACTGGAAACACTTCAAAATGTCCATCAACATAGGCATGGGTAAATAAGTTTGTAGTCACACAATGGAAATTCATACAGCAATGAAAAGAGACACACCCAAGATGAAAGGCATAATGTTGAATGAAAGAACACAGACTCCTTTCCTATGCGGTTCAAAAATAGACCAGACTAAACTGTACTGTTACGGGAGGCAGATTTGGTGGAAGAACTGTAAGTTGAAGGAAATGTTTATCCTCAAAGTCTCAAGAGTGGAGAGGGGAGGGTTGAGTGTGAGGAGGGACTGGGGGGGGGGCCTTCTGGGGGTCTTGGTGTCCTGTTTCTTGACTTTGGGGGTGGTTTTATGGGGCTTATGGGATTTCATCCATTAGTGCTTTTTAAACAGTGTAGTGCACAATTAGTCACTTTTCTGTATGCATGTTGTACTTCACAGTGAAACAAAGAAAAGACAAATGTAGGACAAGCTAAAATAAAAACAAAAGCCCTATTTGGAATTGTCTGAATTCATCCCCGAGTTCTGACAGTGGCCAATTCAGTCATGTGCTGTTTAGGAGAGTCTCAGTGAGGCCGAAGACAGAAATATGGAGAACGGAGGAGAGAATGAGAGAACAAGGAGGGCGATGGAGGAAAGAAGTTACTGAAGACCTGCGTGGGTAGAGAAGGAGGTTACATTCAGGGTTTATGCCTGGAACTTCCACTTCTGAAAAGCAAGCACCTTTCCCTTCTGTCTTTATCTTTTAAGACTCTCCTACAAATCCTGTGAGTCCCAGGTAGTCAGTCATCCTGTCTCAAGCATCCCTTTGCATTTTGTACTTACATCAATGAGCAGGGTTCTTGCCATGTTATAATGGTTTGCCTTCCCACGTGATATCCTCAAAGGCGGTGGGTAATTTTTGCATCTTTCCTGGCCTCTCCTTCCTGCCAGCACTTAGGACAGTACCTGACCACGAGGAGACACTTGGCTGGTGCTTGTTGAATGACTGAATGAACAAGGGAATGCTTTACCTTCAGCTGCAGCTCCTTGTATCTCTTAGACATCCGAATGAGCAACTTCTCACCATTGATCATGGCAGATTTTTCTTGGTAATACTGGACCATGGCCTGAGCAGCTTCTGTGTAAGCCATCTCCAAAAAGGCCTAGGAAAGAACATCCAGTACAAGGTATGATTCCATGTATATGAAGTTCAAGAATAGGCAAAACAAATCAATGGTGATAGAAGTGAGAGTTCAGCGTCCCCCTGGGAAGGGGCGGGGTTTTGACTGGGAAGGGGGCATGAGAAACCTTTCCAGGTTCTGGGAATGTCCCGTATCTGGACCTGTGTGGTAATTACACGGGTGTACACATGTAAAAAATTAATGGAGTTGTGCACTTAAGACTAGTGCACTTTAGAGTATGTATTTCAAACCTCAATAAAAAGAAAAAAAAACAGTACAAGGAAGAGTTCTCTTTGATCCCATCTGTTCAAAGAGACCTATTTATTAACTCCACCAAAAGAGCTCATTATAAGATGGCCCCTCTCCTAATCCCCATGGTTACCAAACATGGTTCTTAATTATGTATGTCCACCCTGGACTACAGCAGGCCGCAGGAGCCCCTCTGGGGTGGGAGGGTCCATTAACCGACAGTTTCCCAGGGGAAGCCATAGAGCAGGGGAGAGTGAGTGTCTTGCACAAGTGACCTTGGGCCGATCCCTGCAATGGCAGAAGACAGAGGCACAAGCCCTGGGTATCTGAGCTTCACTTTCTTTATGAAGAAAGAAACATACTAAAACTTACAAAGAAATAGGCTTTTCCATTTGATCAGTGTCTACAGAGACTCTCTAAATAGGTTGTTTTGACCGACCTGTCAGTTTACCCCAGGAGCTGTGGTGGGTTCATCATTGTCACTGTGTCTTAGATTTGTTTGCTTGGTACCGATCTGGTCCCTGATGTCGAGAAGGAAAAGTGATCCGTGACAGAAGGGCCCTCACTGTGAGCGCCTACTCTGCCGTTCCCCTGAACAAACGCATCCTCCCTCCTTCCCTCACCCTTGTTTTTGAATTTCCGATACACTCTTCTGCACACTGCCACAGTCTATGGCACAGTGTGGGCGACTAGAGGCAAGATTATTTAGTTGTATTCAAATCTGCCACCCAACTTTCTAAGTGTCTCTTTGTTCCTGGAAACATTGTAGTCCCTGTAGTTCTCACCTGTCAAATGCGAGTAATGCTACCGTATTTTGGCATGTATAACGTGCACTTTCTTTTACCCAAATTTTTGAGGGAAAAATAAGGATGCTCGTTATACATGGGTATAATGATTACACACCATGGGTATAATAATGGGTATAATAATCCCATGTATAATGTGCACAACACATGGTTTGCATTGTACACAGGAGCAAATTATACACGGCAAAATACGGTAATTCAATGACTTTCCCTGCATTCATGTTCCAAACTGAACTGTGGACATTTACCCAAAATAGAATGCTGAGAAGTAGGAACAAAGAGACAAAGTGGAAAACCTAAGCCCGGGTCCATGGAGGAAGACCACTGATGATCTGCTGTGGCTATCTGCAAAGTTCATGCTTTGATTAAGAAAAGAATTTCTCTTACGTCTGCTACTCTTCTTCATAAAATAAAAATATTATTAATAAGCAAACAGAAAATATTTTTATTTCTCATCATTCTCTGTATAAACTCCCCCTTAGACTTTAGAAATGAAGACCAGCATATTAACTCCCATGGCCTCAGTCAGTCCCCGAGGGTTAAGGGTTCATAGCTCCTTAGACTTACCAGGCGTCCATCAGTTCCCACCTGTTCCCCTGCTGTGCAACCCAAGGGGCTCGGATGCTATCACCAAGAATCAGTGAAAATCCCTGTTCTCAGTTGCCGGCTGTCTCCAAAGCCAGGCCCTCAGTTTTATTTTCTAAAACTGTATCATTAGCTCAGGGGACTGGTAATACCGTCAAGACTCAAGTCCGTGGCTAGCCATTTTAGGGGTCAGTGCTCAGGTTCATGGGTATCTGTTTTGGGGGCCAGTTAGCTTTTCCATATTAATGAGCACCTCATTCCAAAGCACTTCCTCACCTCCAGGCAACCCACAGAGGCCTGTAACCATCCCAAGAAGGGTAAGGTGAAACAAGAGGAAGCAAAACACCACCATCGCCAGAAACCTCTGTGCTTTACCCACTGGAGTCCACCTGTGTTTCCCTCTTTATGTTAAGAACAGCTTCTTAAAAAAGAAAAAGGACACGTTATTGCGCCGGATAGACCAACAGCAATGCATGACGGAGCTGGTACAGACCGGTGTGAACGTGCGCGGACCCACCTGATTCGTAGACTTCATGAGGATGTAATTGGTGACCTTTCCAAAGGGCAGCCCCAAGTTAATGACGTCATTCTCCGTGCAGCTCCCTTCTGGAAGATTGCAGATGTGCACCACGCGGCCAGCGCCTGCCTTCCGCTGCACGAACTGGGAGAGACAGAGCGGTGGCTGGTCTTCAGAGGACATTTCCCCGGTGCCCTCTGTGCCAGCTGTTCCTAATGACCGTCTTCCTCCCAAATAGTGACTGAGAAACTATACCTGACACAGAAACAGCCCCATTCACACACGCAAAACACTGGTTTCATGTCATCTATTTATGCAAAAGAGTCACAACATTTTTAATGAACGGTCACATCCAGGGCTTTGAGGAAACACACATTGCTGGTGGGAGGTTTTCTACAATCTTTTGAGAATATATGTGAGCGACAGCATGTAAAACTGAAAACATACACAGCCTGTGGTCCTGCCACCTCACATTTGGAAATTCACCCTACAGAATAAATGCATCTGTATGTAAATATGTAGGTACATGGATAATTTGTTGCAGTAATTTATAAGGTGACATAAAAATTTGGAAACAGCCCTGGCTGGTGTGGATTGAGCGCTCGCCTGTGAACGAAAGGGTTGCTGGTTCGATTCCCAGTCAAGGCACATGCCTGGGTTGCGGACCAGGGCCCCAGTAAGGGGCGCATGAGAGGCAACCATGCATTGATGTTTCTCTCCCCCTCTTTCTCCCTCCCTTTCCCTCTCTAAAAATAAATAAATAACATCTTTCTTAAATTTTGATAATTATTGAAATTGGGGGGTGGGGATATGGGGTTCCTTATACTAGTGCTGACTCTTCTGTTTGTCTGAAAATTTCCCCAAAGACAAAAATGTCAAAGGATATTGGCAGAAGCAAAAGGGAAGTGAGGGTGTGTACCGACTTGTCAATACTGGCTTTCTTCAAAGAGCAGAACAGAAAATCAGGAAGGGAAGAGACATGTCACCTTTTTCTTACATACTTCATATTGTCCAACTTATATTTTTAAAGGTTCCAATGAGTTAAAAAAGGACGTAGACAGGATTTGTGGGACCCTAATGCACACACACAGACACCCACGGCACAGCAGTGCAGGGAAGTGGCTTTCCAAACTTCGCGGGCCTTTGGAATCCTTTCTTCAAACAAAAGCTTGCTGACCAGTTCCAGATATGTGACACGTAAGAGGAGATGCTCTAGACAGACTTTGGGGTCCAGCCCTTTGCTGCCACACTCCAGCTGGCGGTCCCATAGGCACCTCTGAGGAACACAGTTTGGAAGCTAAGACCTAGGCCTAATCAAAGCTGTGGAGGAAGGAGGTGTGTCTGTTCTGTCCGTGCAAACCTTCATCAGCCTGAGTCTCCAGGAGGATTTGAGAATCAGTAACCATAAGCCAACCCAGCGTGGATGAGAAGGGTGCCATTTTTCTAAACCCAAATCACGTTCTCATAGCACACCCTATATGTGCGTAAGCACCACTTAGTATATGATAATGTGAACTTTAACACTTGATTACACTAATGTGTGGCTGGCTGGCTAAGCTAACACAGCGGGAAAGTCTGAGGTCCCATCCCTAGTGAGGCCCAATACTTGTGTGATTCTACCACAAAAAGCCCTTACTTGTCCCATTGGGGCTAAGGACAATTAGAGTATCTAATAACCTCCTTTTATGATCCAGCCCTAAAGTAGAGAAACCCAACTGCCCCTTTCCCCATCTGCGATGTCCAGAGGTCAAACACTTTCCCAGAGGGGAATGGGACTTAGTCTGTGGCCCAGGTGGCTCCCAGGGCTCTCCAGGGACAACAGGAGCAGGGCAATGAAGAGGCAGGATCAGTGCCTCCCTGTAGAGAAATGGTCCCCATGAAGAGGCTGACCCAGCTGAGCACTCAGGTGAGGCAATGTGGTCGATCCTCTGAGCTGATCAACAGGAGGGCTGAGGCTGGGCTCTGGCCCACCGCCTCCCAGCGTGGTGTGTTTCTGCCCCACGTGACTTTGCTGTGCTTGGCCTGGGCTAATGTGTGCTTGGACAGCAGAGAGACACGCAGAGTGGTTCTGGGCCCAATCCCCTCTCCAGTTGCTTAGTGACCAGGCACAAGGGCTGGTGCCTGTCTCATTGTATCCACCAGACTGAAAAAGCAACTGGAGAGAGGCATTGCATTCAAGCGGGAGTGCAACAAAAGCTGCCGCAGGGCGGTGGAGCAGGCCTTGGGAGAATAAACACCCTCACAGCTGCCAGTCACCGGAGAACAAGATGAGTTCATGCTGCAGAACTTGTTAGAGAGGCCCTCAAATAATGGGCCTCAATTAAGGTTTTCATTCAAATTTTAAAAATGTATTCCATGAGCACTGTTTCCTCCCAAGGTTTTAAATCAGAAATAGAAGTTGCATTTTATGGAGTCTTTTGTTGTCATTTAAAGTAATCACGAGATCATTAGTATTCTTCCAGTATTCACCCAATTGGTGGACTGCAAGTAGGTTCTAGGGGTGCCAAGGTGTCGACCCCTCAGGGTGGAGGCCCAGGACCTCCAGTGGCCAGGGGCGGCGTCTTCAGTGCACCAGCGTGCTTTAGTGCAAAATTTTAAAGTAAGCCATGAAATGAAAATCTGGAGACTCTCTGTTCAGGGTTTGCTTCCTATTGTGTCTGACTTCAGGGCATGTGGAAAAGCCCTGTCCAGTTACAAGAAAAAGGTTTATGTGTTGCAGGCATACCCTGTTTTATTGCACTCTGCAGACGTGGCATTTTTTTCACAAGTTGAAGGCAAGACTCTCCGCCAGCAAAAAGATTATGACTCTCTGAAGGCTCAGGTAGTAGTTGTTAGCATTTTGTTTTTAGCAAGAAAGTATTTTTAAATTAAGATATGTACCGGCCCCCGGCTGGTGTAGCTCAATGGATTGACCACAGGCCTGTGAACCAAAGGATCGAGGTTCGATTCCCAGTCAGGGCACATGCCTGGGTTGCAGGCCAGTTCCCAGCAGGGGATGCATGAGAAGCAACCATATATTGGTATTTCTCTCCTTTTCTCCTTCCCTTCCCCTCTAAAGATAAATAAATTAAAAATCTAAAAAAAATAATAAAAGGATATGTACTGGTATGTTGTGTTTTTAGACAAAATGCTATACTGCATGCTTCACAGACTGCAGGATAGAGTAAACACATGGACTGGGAAACAAAAACACAGTGACTCTCTTTATTGTGGTGGTCTGGAGCCGAACTTGCAAAATCTCCAAGGTGTGCCTGTATATTCTTTTGCAAATATTTGATTTAGGAAAATTCAGTCTGCATTCTTTTCTGTCATCAATCTAAAATATCTTTTTGTTTTAAACTTGATTAGGTTCAAAATCATATTTGATTTCTAAAAGCTATATATGTATATGTGTATATATATGTACACACGTACACACATAAAGGCACCTTAATGTATTCTTGACCACTTTATATAAACATGGTTGTTTTTGCCATGTGCCCACTGGCAGATCTAAATGATGCATGAGAAAGTTAGGGAGGGAGGAAAGTGAGCAGGTATGAGGAAGGAAGAATGGCATCTTTAGGTGGTACATCTGGAGTAAAATTTGTTCACGGTGGGGGTGGGGGAGGGTGGCACAGATAACCCTGAGTGTCTTCGAGCGGGCAGCACAATGCTGCACAGTAATCCCCAGCCTGGGCTGTGGGGAACCACCCTGCCTAGTTTCAGAAGCTGTAACCCACCATGGCTAAGGCTGAGTGAGAGACCTTGGGACCATAAGCCACTAAGGAGACAAAGCTTATCTCCCTGGCAGGGGCACCGCTTCTGCCCCCTTTTACTTCACCCTGCTTGGTCTCGAGCCTGACCAGTTAGCCAATGTCAGATAAGATTCATCAAGGGAGGAACAACCTAAGACAGGCATGGTCACGAAGAGGTCCTCAGGGAAGAACTTGGAAGGGCTAGAGAAAAAGGGGGTGATGGACCCTCACCCTCAGCTTTGACATTGCCTGAGCCCTCTTTCTGTCTGCAAGAAGTCTCCTGATCTCTTGGCTGCCTTACTTCCACTGCCTGACTTAAGCCTCAAACAATGACAGAGGAGGCTGCAGCCCTGGACTGGAACTAGCAGTTCCCTGGGGCAATCAGACCTAAGAAAGAATACATAAAATCCTGTGAAACCTGCTTTGCTAAGAATGTCCTCAGTTTTCTGATAAGGGTTGAAGGAAAAATGAGTTTGTTCCACAAAGGTTTATAGCCCTTTAGTTAACTGACCCTGACTCAGAATAAGCCCTCGTAGTTCTTTGTATATTATCTATTGTTTGATCCTTACTGCCTGACAGTGATTGATGAGTTTTACATATACACCCTGTAATTCCTGTGCAAACTGAACCCAATAAAAGCCCATTGAGGAAAAGGCTCTGGGCCTTTCTCCTTTGAGAGACTGGCTACCTCTCCTCCCCAAGCAGATCATGTCTTGGTAGACTTATTCTCATCTGGACAGGGCGAGGGGCCTGAAGGCAGAGCCTCCCCACATCGGATTCTAAGTCCTTTCCAGTCTTTAGATAATAATATCTTAAGGGAGAAACATTACTTTTGACATTTGAAGAATCTGAGTTGAGGTCATACTTTGAGTATTTTGACTCTATCAGTGCAGTGGCCCTGGTTAGATTTTAGGCTACTCAGAGAGCATGACTGGTGCGTCTGTGTTTCTGATGAACATAAATGGATAACTCGTTAATTACTCACTAATACAAGTACTTTGGCAGAGACAGAACTTTTCCATACAGGAAATGAAGGACAGCGGCTGCTGGAGGTAGGAGTAAATGATTAAAAGGGGTTTTGGCTGGGAAAAGCTTAGACTTCTCAATGTAGCAGAAAGACCCTAATCCCGGAAGATGGAGGACCTGGATTCAAGCCCCAGCTTGGCCACTGAGTAGGCGCATGACAGGGCAAACTCATTTTCCCTTCCTGGACCTGAGTTTCCCAGTGTCCAGAATGAGGGAGGCAGTCTGTGTATCTGAAGTCCTTCCCAGATGTAAAATGCCCAAACTTATGTGGCTCTAAGTTCTAAAATTCCACTCCTCCCAGAAGCTTTGCCAAGCTAAACCCCAAGATCCAGGATAATGATAACTTTCCCAAACTGTGCTGGGCACAAACAGGAAACCTGA